TTGGGTACCTTCGGACTCCTCAAAAGGCACTCTAGGCTCTGTTTCTCTACACTGCTGAAACAAAGTCCCATCAAAAGTTGCCTTGTGTCATGTGATGGTCTTGTGGGACTCTGTTTAGGCAGCAGAGAGAAATGGAGAGAAGATGCAGAGAATACTGTTCCTGATGAAGTCATAAGTCAATGGCAAGTCAGAAGAGCTTTAAAAGCTTGCATGAAATGTTTTGCAATTTTTTGTTGGCCTATAAAGGTATCACTCTTTTGCAGATTTTGTTTGATTTGGATTCCATTTGGATTTCATTTGCACTTCTATGCACTTTAGCACATGAGGCTGGCAAAGCAGAATTCCATCAGGATAATGATGTTGTGTGTGTCCTGCTGCCACTTTGAATTCCTTCCATGACTATAGCACTTTTTTCACTGAGTAAAACTCTTCAGTTCCTCCTGATACTGCTCCCTTTCCATTACATACTTAAGTGCAATAGTTCCCTTCCACTTCTGCTTTTATATGTAAGTAGTCACATTACATCACTGGGCATGATTCTCTTCCTCTCCCCCCCCCCCCCCCACACTCTCTCTCTCTTTCATCTTGCAATTCCCAAGAAGGCTGTTCTGCTTTTTTTTCACTGTTGCTTCTTTACTTTTTTTCTATATTGTTATATTTGCAAAATTTCAGTAGTAATAATCATAATGATAATAACAAAAAAATTCTCAATAGGGTATTGTGCAGGAAAGTAAGTTATGAAGACTGTGTGGAAGACAGCCCATAGGATCACAGATTGCCAAAGTGATGCTGTTGCATTAATACAGATAGGTCTGATATCAAACACTCTTAAGGGCCTCTTCACAGGGGTTTATTTTTGGTGGTGACAAGAGGTATTTTCAAGTTTGGCCATGGAGCTCAATGGCTCCCATCACACCCTAGAGAAGTACTTCTGGGGCAACTCTGTGGCCAAACTGAAAAAATACCTGCAGCTGCTGAAAATAAGCCAGTGGCAGACAAGAAGAGACTCCACATCTTTCATTGGGAAAGATGGATCAAGCCAGCTTAAACAGGCTTCTCCCCATGTGATGAGATTGGGAGGAAGCCAGAACAGCATGGGGTGTGGGGCAACAGGGAACACCATGCTCCATGACAATCTATGGCGATTCTGGCAGCACATGTGACAAAGTTGTAAAATCAGTTATGTTTCCATTTTCTGCATGAATGCAGTTATGGAAAGAAAGCAGATTGGTGTGATAAAGTCCTAACTTTTTATGCTTTTGTTTCAAGCTGAGAACTGCATCACAAATCTGAAGAAGAGAAGAATCTGAAATTGAATTCTTCATTTTTACAAAGTTAAGTGCCAGATATTGGGAAAACTTGCAGTAGAAAACTCCACTGTAGCCCATTAAAGCAATTTTGCCATGCTATAGCTATAGTGCTTGGCTTCAGAATAGTATGTCATGATGACTTACTCTTTATGAAATAAACCAGAGTGAGAGAGTAAATCACTGTAGAGGTTCGTGTATCTGCATGCTCCTCAGTAAATAAACTATCTATCTATCTATCTATCTATCTATCTATCTATCTATTCAAATATTTTAAAACCACTCTTTAGCTTATTATTTAAAAATCCTATTAAGTATCAACAGACAAAACTAATCACTAACACCAAAATAAGGTTTGAAACTGGTGCCAAAAAACCATGTCAATACTGTCCTCAGTTGCACTTCCATGAGAAGCATGTTTCCATAGGTGGAAAACTGCACATCAGTAGAATTTCTCCTTTGTTGAAACAAAATGCAGCCGAGATTCTTGCAGAACATCTTGCCTGATGAGATTTACACTATGGCCAAGATAGGAAGTGTAAAAGAATCTTTCATTTAAATCGGGGGGATTCTTAAGATGTTGACTCAAACAGTATAAATCTCTCTCCGCTGTTCACCACTGTAACAGAGCGCTGAAGATCTTATACTAATATGTCTCTAACATATCCCCTCATACACACACCAACACGCGTTCCCTCAGCTGCTATATAACTCTCAGCTGAACACCACGTTGAAAGATCAGAGTACAGGGTTATACTCCCTTAGGTTCTTCGAGAACACTAACACAACTCTGTCGCAAAGCACTTCAATGTGTGTTGTGGAACATGAGTGTGTAATGGTAGGTTTGCTGCCACCACCACAAAATTAAAGTTTGAGGAATTGTCTTGTTGTTGTACTTGAGGTAAAATGTCCCTATACACCGGCTCTTCCTTTTGGCTCCCTTTTTGTGTCACTGAACTGTAGAGATGGGGAGGATTACTGGATCTAACCTGTAGTATGTAACAGTGAGATTCTTTGACCAGCCACCCCTGGCTGCCTTCCAGAGTATCTAGGTTTCCCCTGGACTACTCTGACCTTTAGGGAAATAAACCCACTCGTATTCTGTCCTAATATAAGTAAACAAGCCTTCACTTTGACTGCCCTAGTCAAACTATACAGAAGCACTGGCTCTTAATTATTCCCTAACAGTCTAATTCCTAGCTCACTAAGAAACTCTCTTCTCTCTGTCTGAAATCCTAATCTTTTCTCTGCTAGATCAAATCCTTCTCTCTTCCCCCCCCCCCCCTGTCAGAAATGACAGCCTATTTACACTCTCCTTCAACCCCTCCCCTTGGGGTCTGAACCAATCAAGAGTTAGCTGACTCCTCCCTTGTCTCTCTGCCTATACCATCATGTCCGCCATCCTGAGCTGCCTTCCCAACATGGAGGCCAGCTCACTGACTTCCAGGCTGCGACCTAGCAAAGGTACGAGTTCATGACAGGAAGAGATGCAGCTGCAGAGATATATACACCATATAATGAAAGGTCGTCAATTTCGCTTACCTGGCTTTGTAGCTGTGTTCAAAAAAAGCTCCTGTATGCATACAGTCTCAATAAGTAGCTTTGACAGTGATGATTCTCGACATCATGGCTAGTTATGTTGCTTGTGTCATGTACTCTTACAGTAGTGTAATTACAGAACCTTATAGATGGAGACCATCCAGCCTAACAATAGATTGCATGCTGCAATGAATAAAAGAAACTCACCACCCAAAGCATGTATTTACACTGCTATTAGTAGGTATTTTGACTGCCATTACTCCAGCCAAGCAATCCTAGGGCCTGAAGTTATGCAAAGTACTTTGAATTCTAGTGACCCAATGTGATGTAGTAGTTTGAGTGTTGAACTATATCTCTGGAAACCAAACTTCAAATCCACGCTCAACCATGGAAACCCAATGGTTTATCTCTCAACCAAAAAGGAGGTGATGGCAACCCCTCCCCCCTTCCTGGTCAAATCTTGCCAAGAAAGCCTCATCTTAGGTTTGTCACAAGTCAAAAAGGACTTGCAGGCACACAAAAACGTTTAAAATTCACTGCTAGAGAGTTCACATGCTGCACTTCAGAGGAGGTATAAACCGCAAAAAAATACATCCCAGGATTCCTTAGATGAAACCACAGCAATTAAAATGGTATCAAACTAATATAATTGGGCAGTGTTGACACACCCCAAACTCTTGCCGAATACCCACAAGCTTCTACATTTACAGAATTGTGTCCTGTTTGGTGCCCATAATCCAGATTGACTGGATTCCCGTACTCCAGTCTAATCTTTCCATATCACAAGTGGAATGAAATGGTAATGTCACAAAACTAGACAACATTTGTGTTTGTATTGTTTGGTAAGGGCAGTATAGCATGAAGAAGATGAATCCAGGATATTGTGTCTCCTTTTTCTGCCTCTCTAGAATTCTTGCTCTCCCTGGCAGCAAAAACAACATTGCAGTGTTCCCTCACTTATCGCGGGTGTTACGTTCCAGGACCACCCTGAAAAGTGAAAATACACGAAGTAGGGATGCTATATATAGGCACCACACACGGTTGGGTTTTTTTTGGGTTTTTTTTTTTTTTTTGCTAACTATCTCTGCTTTGCTTTGCAATTTCTCTTGATTGGCTGCCTCTCTCCCCGGTGGGAGAGTGAAACCCCCTTCCACACTCCATCGTTGCCAGGAGGTGGGATTAGAACGCCGCTCTGGGAAATAGCAACCATTCATAAACTGGGAGGCAAAAACCCATGAAACAACCAGTCCGGGGAAAGCGAACCACGAAGTAGCAAGGGAACACTGTATAGCATGTAATTCATTCAGAATCGTCACTTCCTCCTGCTATATTTATTTTAAACTATTTGAACTTTCACATTGTTTCTGCATCTATAAGGATACCTAAAAAGTATAAACTCTGCCCTTTATCATAATGTTACCGCACAGCTTTTTGACAGCCGTATATGTGTTTGTATTCATATTTCTTCAGAGGTATATTTCATTCATTTCAAAGGAATTTGGTATTGGATTGTAATCAGTGTAATATCACTAGTCATTGTAAGCTAGGGTTAAAATGTGTGCTCTGAAGTATTATATGGTTATCATTGCTGCTCTAAGATTGGACTCATGCTTTGTCGTTGCTAAAGTAGACCGAAGCTTCAAAAAGTTGCTTTAGGGTCATTTCCATATTCCCATAGTCAACATAAAAGATGTAGTCCAAAAAGTAACATCTCCAGTCTCTAGTAGATCAATTCCATTTTGTACCACTTATTTTATTATGCCTAAGTGTAGAACTCCTTTTTTAAAAAAAGTTAAAATGCTGATCATCATTGTAGAAATGCTGGAATAATAATACACAGTTATAGTCGCACACTACTACTGAAGAATGATTGAACATTCAAAGCTACATAAAAACAATACAAATAAGGAAATTTAATAGAAAAAAAGATTATTACTACAACAAGTCACTGCCGGTGTATTAAATGTCAAGAGGCACGACTTTGTGGAATTACTAGTTTAAATATAGCTCAAACCTGGGATTTCTTATAGATTAGTTACTCTTGAAATAGAAGTAACACCATACACAGTTTAAAGTATTTGCTTATTTCTTTATTGCTAATAGAATTGGCAAGACAGATCAACTATATAAGATGCAATATTTCTGCTTTCTTACCTCCTTTGCACCTCCAGAAGGTGCCATTGTGGTCTCAGTGTTACAAGTCTGAGAAAGATACATTGGCACTTCCATGTCAGTGTTCGATAACAAGGCTTCCAGAAATACAATTGCAAACTGGCCGAAATTCATGAGCCTTTGTTTTATAAATCCTCTGTGTGCTCCACCCTTTCCTTTACATTTAGACTAAGAAATATGAGGATACAAGAGACAGAGTTTAGAGCTACACCTTATGGGCTTCTCCCCCATTCCTTGCCACAAATGACTTTCATTTCACATGTAAAGCAATCAAAGGCGTCTTCAGGCTAAGCAGACAAATGGAAGTACATGAAAGAGCTGTTTGGTCCTTGTCTAGCCATTCCAGACAAACTCTCATAAGCACCTTCATTATTCACTTCAGAGAGAATATTAAAAATGAACTGAAGCTATTTTGAAGAGGCAAAGGGTCCTTCCAGACAGCCTTTAATCTGAGACCTGTCTCGGTTTTACTGGAGGCGTCCAAATAATGCCTCTGGTAAAAACTAATTAATGTTGAGTAACCTGGGGTTTCCCAATGTACTCCACATTAATTAAATGCCTAATCAAATCTAGGCCTTAATGAAAGATCCGGGTCTGATGAGGTATTGGGCCTGTGGGGATTGACTTCCGGTCAAGTTCCGTGATACTGAGGGTCAATCGCCAAAGCCATCTCACATTTTTGGGGTTCTGGAGCACAGGAGACAAGGTGATAGCTTAGCAGGGCTAATATGAGCAGCTGCCTTACAACTGGGGACAGGGAATGGAAGTTAATGGAACAGGGAATGGAAGCATCTCTCCTTTTCTTATTTACTTTAGTGACAAAAAGGTGACTTTGCACCAGTAAAGCTGATGATATATATCCTGTGTTAAGTTTTCATTAAACTCAGGCATATCTCCTAATAAACCAGGGCGATCAGGTTGCAACCCAGGGCATCATCTGCCCCTCCCTCCATACTCAGAATTCAGAAACATGTGAGTCATAGACACCAAGCACCAATTAGGTTTATTAACCAACTGAATCATGTTCTGATATGCTTATGTGCCTAGTTCTACAATTTGCTTTGCTTTGCTAATATATTTCTCAGCCTGTTTTGTTACATGTACAAACAACAACCATGAAGTCACATTCTCTTGCTTCCAGGAAGAGAGGAGAGGAAGGGTCCCAGTGTTTTATTCACAAAATTACCACAACTTTTTCTAACAGTGCCAGGGAAATTCTGAAACATGATGCAGGTAACATTTAGTTCAGTTACATAATCTACTGTCAGATGTTACCTTGTAGTAGACAACAAAATGGGAGGCTATAAGGGAGATAGGTGGACCTACTCCTTAAGGTGAGGTGGGGGTGGGGACTTGGGGCTGGAAGTTCTGATCTACCATCCTGTTGTGGTTCAGACAGATGTAGATGAGGGCATTGGGGTTTCAGAGCCCTAGATGAGGGAAAGGAGGGGATTTCAGAGCACGATTCTCTCTGTGAGATGGAGTTTGTTTTGGAGTCCAGCAGACAGGGAGAAAACCTTTCACCCACAAGAAGATTAGCAATCCCTGATAAAGACCTGGCAGACCAAGATAGATCATTCGAGGGTACAGCTGGGTTAGACAGGGATACCAGACTGCACCTGAGGGGGAGAAACCTCGAGCGCAGGAAATCCAAAAGAATCTGTGAAAAAGAAGCACAGAGAAAGGAACCTCCAGGTCAAAGAAATGCCTTTAAGTTTTACCTTCCTTAAATCAGAGAGTATCTCATTGAGATTTTAGATCAGGCAATGCTGCTGAATAGTAAAGATGCCCAGTTCATATTTTACCTCCTGAGAATTTTGATTCATGTTTTAGAAAGTTCTTAAAGCCTTGGGTCTTATGGATTCATGTTCATGTTTTGATTCTTGTTTTCCTTTGATTATGCTCATGTTATGATTTTTGTTTTCCTGTACCATTTGGATTATTTGGATTAATGTCTGTGAAGTGTTTTTACTCCTCACCAGCTTGGCTGGGGTTTTACATATTGACTAACTTTTCTGATTACCTGTTGGATTTTACCTTCCTCATACCTTTTGGTGATTTCCTCCTTTTTATGTGTATTTTCTTCAATAAACTGTTTTACTACTACTTTTGGATTCCTGGTTGGTGCTAAAGGCAAGGTGAACTCTAGCTGGGGTGCAACACATCCCAGGGGTTAACTAGCCTGTGAGTTCAGTTGAATCATTGGTTGGCAGTGAATCAGGTGATGACTAGTTCCACTGCCCTTTGTTGTGGTGAAATGTATAGTTGCAACTAATACAACTGTGACCAAACATTCCATCCAAGATAAGCCTTCACTATATTTATTTTCCCAATCTATTCCTCCATTCCACTTTAGTTGCAACAAGTGAAAAGCACAAAATTCCATGCCCATAATGAAATATCTCTTTTTGCCTTCAGGTCAAATTCAGGAAAAAGATTTCAGGTGCTACTTTTTGTGAGTAAAGCAGATCACAAAGATACCAACTTATTTTAGCAGAAAATGCTTATTTCCAATAGCTGAGTGAATGAGAGCAATTCTACACAAGAACATAATGCAGTTCCAACTAGTATGAAAAAGACTGGTTTGGGGCCACTTTATGTCCACATGGTGCTGTCAACCACCTTCAAGGCAGGACAGGAGCCCCACAATCCAGCCACCCCCAGCACTTGCTCAGTTACATGGCATCAACCAGCAAGTAAAGTTCATTAGCTCTGGATTTGCTGCAGAATCCATTCATATTTAAATATAGGCTTAGTAACCCTTATCCAAATGCTTGAAACAGGAAATGTTTTGCATTTCTCTCCCTTTTTTTTTTTTTTTTTTTTTTTTTTTTTTGCTGGAGGAAAATTCTGAGAGTGCCTTGGACTGCAAGAAGATCCAACCAATCCATACTTCAGGAAATAAAGCCTGACTGCTCATTGGAGGGAAGGATAGTAGAGGCAAAGATGAAATAGTTTGGCCACATCATGAAAAGAAAGGAAAGCTTAGAATGAGTGGGAATTAGTATCAGAAAATATTTGTTATCGAGCCACAGTAACCCCAGCACCAGAGATTTATAGTTCACCGATATGTTACTTTAAAAAAAAGACCCTTTCCAGGCTTGTGCAGGCTCAAAGCATCAGAAGGTCAAGACCAAACCTGAAACAGCTATCATATCTAACCTTTTAATAAATTGTATCTATTCATCATGACTTTCTATATAACTATTATCTTTTTATATACTGTATCTAATCTATAAATCTGAAATGTATAAACTATTTTATATAATGCATCAAGACAGACAACTCTACATGACCCTGAAAACTAATCCCCAGGGAACAGGAAGGCTAAACAAACCCCTCTGGGCTTCTTTCCAAGCCAAAACAATTAACCAGACCCATTGTTCATGTATTTTGAACTGTGGTGCTGGAGGAAAATTCTGAGAATGCCTTGAACAGCCAGAAGATCCAACCAGTCCATACTTCAGGAAATAAAGCCCAACTGCTCATTGGAGGGAAGGATATTAGAGGCAAAGATGAAGTACTTTGGCCACATAATGAGAAGACAGGAAAGCTTAGAGAAGACAATGATGCTGGGAGAAATGGAAGGAAAAAGGAAGAGGGGACAACCAAGGGCAAGATGGGTGGATGGTATCCTTGAAGTGACTGGATTGATTCTCAAGGAGCTGGAGGTGGTGATGGCTGACAGGGAGCTCTGGCATGGGTTGGTCTATGAGGTCACAAAGAGTCAGAAGCGACTGAATGAATAAACAGCAACAAATTCTTTTTTTGATATTAGAATACCTGTGTTTGCATACATGTACTTAATGAGATTCCTTGGAGATGAGACCCAAGTTTCCACATGAACTCATTTGTTCTATACACTTTAGACACATAGCCCTGGAGGCAATGTTATACAACATTGAACTTGAAACAAAATTGTGTACATGGAACCCTCTGAAAACAAAGGTGTCAGTATCACAGCCAGCTGTCATTGATAGCTCTGATAGCGAGGGTGAGGAGGTGCTGTTTGAAGGGCCAGTGTTTCAGGTGGAGTCCAGGGATGCCCAGCACTTCCTCAGCCAAGCTTGGAAGAAGAGCCTATATGGCACTTAGTTTCTGGCAACAACTTCAGTGTTTGGAAATGTGACCTCAAACTGTTGGTGATCTTTGGTTTTGTGACATTTAGACTCTAGTATTTGTTGGAATGAGCTTTGGATCTTGGAACGGACTATCAGCTTCCCTGGTGTTTTTCCCTGTAATTTATGCCTCCTTGGACTTGGACTGTTTACGAATCTCCTGTTTCGAAATGAGGGTCTTAGTTTTATGATATTAGTCATGTGGATGATTTTAGATCTTGGGGTGCTCTGGATTTTGGAATTCCAGATAAAGGATTCTTGACCCATATTCCAAATGTCAACATACTTTGAGCAAGAAAAGCAGAACTCATAATGCAGAGGAAGTTGTGTGACATAACAGTTTATTCTTGTTTATTCGTTATTTTATTTTCTTCAATTGAATATATTCTAATAAACTTTTCAGAGGTCTATATACAAAGAAACAGACAGCAAACAAATACTTAAGCTAGAAATTAGATGAGTAGGAGATAGGTGGATCCTTTCATGAATATTTCTGTATTTCAAAAAGATGAAATATCAATACTTTTTTTGTTAACAGAAATTAAAAATATTACATAAGATCATGAATTTTAAACATTTTAAAGAGCAGGTAAAGAACAATTTAATGATCCAGGCATGATTTTAACCCTGCATTTGTAACTGTGTGTGCTGTTTACTATGCTTAAAATGCCACAGTTCATAGGAATGGCATTTTACTCTGGACAATATCAAAGAGAAATAATATTTCAAAATGATTTCAGAAAGAAATGCATTTATTAGGGTCCCTTCCACATTGACCCAAAATGCTGGACAACGGGTGTCCACCATAGTGCTAGCATGCCAAGGAAAAAGGAATGGGGATAGGAGGAAAGGCGGAGATCTGGCTGACATCAGGCAGAGCCCTAGGAAGAAGGTAGGTGCCAGGTTGCATCAGTGGAATGCAGGATGGCAGGACAGTTTCATCCAGTCCTGTTTGGGAACTGGCCCAACTGTACTCACAGCACTTACACTGGGGAAAAGCTTGGGGCAGGATAAGGGCTTTCAACTGACTTAGGTTAACCCAGGGCAAGATTGCATTAAGATAACTTTGCCCCAGATACACTGGGGCTGGTACATATCTACACCAACCCAAATAGTCAGTGTAGATGTGCCCTAAGATGTAGCTGGTTTTACTGAACACCATAGCTGGAATCCTATTGATTAGTCCCAACTGAAGTACACCCATTGAATCAAATGTTGACTGGTGGGTCAACATATAGCTAAGCCCTATTGATCCAGAGGATATCCTCTGGTGAGAATGAACAATAGGATCTATGCCCATACCCGTTTCAATAGGAGAAGTTAAGAATTATGAACCCATACATCAATATTGGCAAATGTCAGACAAATAATTGGATAACCAGGAATCAAATATCCAGGAATCAGTAGAGCGAAGGATATGCCATTGCCCAAAATTTCAAGGGCTCCAGTGACTGAGGGATCACCTTCTGCCAACAGCAAATGGCACGCTAGAATTGCAGCATATCTAGTCAATAAGGATAATAGGGCTTGGAGAATATATCAGTAGCCAAGTTTAGATAACTCCAGTTCTTTTATGCCTAGTCCTTTCAACCAGCTATTAGACCTCTCTCTGATTCTCCATTTTCTCCATAATGTGTGTTTGCGTGTGTCTGTGTGATGTTCATGACACTATTTGAGATGCCTGAGCCCGTGCTTTCCGTTCTACAACCTCGTGCAAAACCTGTAAGATAGTAGTGGCATTATTCTGGACATTGTAATTTGTTAGATTCAACAGTTTGTTGAAATCTTCATCCTTCAGTGAGAACTGTCTCATGGAATATGGAGAAAAGGGACTGGAGAGGTCAACATTGCCCAGAGGCATTTCACCAGCACTACGTTCCACACCTGCAAAAGAAGAAGAAGAAGATAAAATGTGGAAGATTTAGAAAATCTGAAAAGAAACCAGAGATTTATTTATCATTTTTTTACAGAAAAGATGGGGACAAACTTCAACTATTGGTTTTCTGATTTCCTAATTTAGAAGAGTGTTATTAAAAGTAGATGGGTATATAGTGCTATTCAGATGGAGGAGAAATTGAGAAGTAAAAAAAATAACAATCAACAAGTGTGAGGCTTGTAGATTAGTTTTATATGTTTAGAATAGATTTAATAGTGTGGGTTCGTTTAAGTTAGGGTGATTGTCCTAGATATAGTTGTGTTAGTGTTGCAGTTTGGTTTTATATACCACAAAAACTGTTTTCTTATATACCACAAAAAACTGACAATCCAAAATTGTCTCATGGAATTCAGAGGGTGGCCTGTTTCTCAGTCTGACCTAACAGGGTAGCTAATTCCAGTAAAAATTAATAGGACTTGCATCCAAATAAAAGTTTATTCTATCAAAGGACATTGAAATGTATCCAGATTTAAGTGCATGCAAAAAATATTTTCATTTCATCTTTTGTACCAACTGCTATTAACTCACCTGGCGCAAGGTATCGTTGGAAGGTATCATTTACTAGTGGGAAATAAATCACGGTGGGGGCTTCTGCATTGTCTGCATCTTCAAACACATAGCACTCCTTTAGGTTTTTCTTTTCTTCTTCATCCAGCAGAGTTTTGGGGAATGGGATTCCTTGTTCTGAGAAGTATTTGAAGGCCTGTTCCAGAGGCTAAGGGTTACAAAATGAAACAATTATAGTTGTTGGAAGGTAGGAACTGTCAAGCCAGGATTTTCTGGTAAAGTATTGTTAGTTTGAAAGTCTAATGTGACTATATTCAGAGACAAAGTAGAATGTTAATTCACAGGACAGGAAGTTATACAGCACCACCTCATCGTTCTTTAACTTATATTCTCCCTGATTTGTCACCACAAGAGTTAAGAGTAAACTTCAACTAATTGAAATTCAGCAGCATTTCTAAACTTGGCTGGCTGAAAATTTTGAAATTCACCAAATTCAAATCCCAGCAAATAAGACATTAAATGGAATCCATGTTCTCTATAGTCAACCCGCACACAATGTCATCTCTTCAAAGATACATCCCTTAACAATTAGATTTGCAAATTAAGCTTGTGTTTATCTTGATTGACTAATCATACAATAAGGAAGGCTACAGGGGAAAAGAGATAAGTGAGACATCTTTCATTACTTGGAGCAGCAAGTCTTCTAAACATATGATAATGGTATGATCTAATTTTACCTTGCTGTAGATATAAGAAAAACACATATACAATTAATTTAATTTTTAAACCAACCAAAATATTTATTTCAAAGTATCAACTTGCCATAATTTTATACCCTATCTATAATGTTCTTGTAACAAGAATGGACATTTTAATCCTCAATATTATTTTGTCATAAACAGTTATAAACAATCAGTGGAATCAACATTGGCTACTTAGTCAACAAGACAAAACTAAGAACATTATCACACAAAACCTCTATCTGGTATCAGTTCCTGGGATAGCTGCTACTTACCGTTATTATCACTGTCATTTCATCACACTGGTGCTGCCATTTTACTTTTTGAAAAACACATTGCAATGTTGTGATTTAAAAAGCCATCAAGGATAGAGGTCAACATACTGCTACAGTTACACCACCCATTCAGCAGTATGTCCTCACACAGCAATGGCAACACAATCGCACATTGCTAGCATCTATGTGAAGCCACTCGGCACCATGACAGTAAATTGGCCACTAACCCACATAACAGGAATGCCACTGGATAGGAGCAAGCATGTGGCAATATCCTTAGCAATATCTCTAGAAATGGCTGTTGGCTAAGAGGATGACATATTGTACATTTAAATAGGAAGGAAGACCTTCTTATTTGTATTCTGGTCCTCAGTTGAGTGAGAAGTCGCATTTTAAGTTGTTTGGGGGATTGCATGGGTGAGTTTTGTTTGTAGTGCACCTTATTTGTAATGTGTGCATGTTTGGTAATGATAGTAAAAATATGCAAAAAATAATAATAGTTGTTAATATTGCTTGTGACGCTTTTGAATGCAGTTTCCATTTCAATTATCCTTCACAAGCAAGACATAAACTCTTCTAACCTTGCTTTGTGATCCTCCAGTGTAACTGAAGTGGAGAATGATGTCCACTTTTCTTTCAGGTCTCAGAAGTGGAGGGCAACTAGTATCAAAGAAGAAAGCACTGTCTACCAGTTCCAGGTGGTCTACAGGATCTCTTAGTTCATTGGGAGATTCATCCAGCATAGTGTCTATAAAACAAAACCTTTATAAAGAAAGGGAAACACAGTAGCAGAACACTCACAAGATCCAGAAATATCAGCTTTCTCCCTTTGACTGAAATACTTAGTTCTTACTTGGTTGGTTTTTTAACATTATAGCCTGAAAATCTGATTCCAGTATTTGTGAGCTATCACAAAAGGAGCCTACCAGATAACTAGTAAACAATGATTCTGGAAACAGCTGAGATAAGACAGGACAATGGTACTCAGACATTTGTTAGTCCTATCCTGAACCTATGTATGATTTCTATCTTGAATTTCTACAGGGTACAGAATCATATATGCAGAGATATTGTTAAGATTAGAAACTGGGAAGTGATGTTATAACAGACTTCTAAACACATTTTTATTCCAGACTAGCCGTCCCCTGCCACACATTGCTGTGGCCCAGTCTGTGTATATGTGTTTTTATATATATGTGGCTTTTTAAGTCTCTTCTGCTGTGTTTTTCACTGTTTTTATGAGTGATGGTTACTCATTGGCCTCATAGGTGTATTGTGTCCAAATTTGATGTCAATCCGTCTAGTGGTTTTTGAGTTATGTTAATCCCACAAATGAACATTACATTTTTATTTATATAGACTTTGTTTCTTTTCCTTCCACAGATTTATAATTTAATCAACTCTTTAGCTGACTGCATGCAGACTGGTGACATGCTTACTGTGTTGGTCTTGTTACAAAATCCTCAACTTTGTGCTGATCTGTGCCAGTACTTGGCAAAAAGCAATTGCTGTGCATAGGCTGCTTTGAATGAGTTGACAGTTACAATGAATATCATCTGGAGGAGCAGGAAGCCAGGCGATATGGGATTACCACTGTATTCAACATAGCACACTTGGACAAGATCAGACATGCTTCTCCCAGATTTCCCACTAAAGTGCTCTCTGTTCTTCCAGACTTCAATCTGGCTTCATCTCTGCATAAAAGAGCAGCAGCTGCTGCCAACATATCCACCAGTGTTCCAGAGGCAGGGAATTCTCTGACATTAATCATTGTGGAAACTTATTATGTTGGATTGTGATGACCAGGGCCCCCTTATGCAACACGGCCATAGCATGGAGATATAGTCCAAAAAAGTAACTTTTTGAAGCTCTTATTCGATCCCAAGAGACATTCCTTCTCCTAAAGCATGTGAGAGTTAGAATGTCATACAGCAACAAATTGTGATCACAATCCTGCATCAGAGGCTATGACTAGCTTTATGACATCAGTGATATGTTGCTTTATTTTATTTCGTGTCAAAAGCATTATATAAAATAGTTTATCTAAAACTGATTTAAATGGTTTATCTACAACTGATAAAATAAAGGGATCACAAGTAGCTAGATAGTTTTAGACCAAAAACAGGCAACAGCGACTACATTGTCTATAGATTTAAACAATTCTTCCTCTAGGTTCTTGTAGGTTTTTTTCGGGCTATAGGGCCATGTTCTAGAGGCATTTCTCCTGACGTTTCGCCTGCATCTATGGCAAGCATCCTCAGAGGTAATGAGGTCTGTTGGAGCTAGGAAAAATTGGTTTATATATCTGTGGAATGACCAGGGTGAGACAAAGGACTTTTGTTTGCTGGGGCTAGCTGTGAATGTTTCAGCTGATCACCTTGATTTGCATTCAATGGCTTGGAAGTGCCTGGGGGGAATCTTGTTGAGAGTGATTTTATGTGCCTGTTTGTTTCCCCTCTGTTGTTTTGCTGTTGTAATTTTAGAGTTTTTTAATACTGGTAGCCAGATTTTGTTCATTTTCATGGTCTCTTCCTTTCTGTTGAAATTGTCCACATGCTTGTGGATTTCAATGGCTTCTCTGTGTAGTCTGACATGGTGGTTGTTGGTGTGGTCCAGCACTTCTGTGTTCTCAAATAATATGCTGTGTCCAGGTTGGTTCATCAGGTGCTCTGCTATGGCTGACTTCTCTGGTTGAAGTAGTCTGCAGTGCCTTTCATGTTCCTTGATGCGTGTCTGGGCAATGCTGCGTTTGGTGGTCCCTATGTAGACTTGTCCACAGCTGCATGGTATACAGTAGACTCCTGCAGAGGTGAGAGGATCCCTCTTGTCCTTTGCTGAACGTAGCATTTGTTGGATTTCTTGGTGGGTCTGTAAGTGGTTTGTATGTGTGTTTCCTCATCAGTTTCCCTATGCGGTCAGTGGTTCCCTTGATGTATGGCAAGAACACTTTTCCTCTGGGTGGATCTTCATCTTTACTCTCGTGGTTTGTTCTCGGTTTTGCAGCTCTTCTGATGTCTGAGGTGGAGTATCCATTGGCCTGTAGAGCCCAGTTGAGGTGGTTCAGTTCATCTTGGAGAAGGTGGGGTTCGCAGATTCTTTTTGCACGGTCTGCCAAAGCTTTAATGGTGCTTCTTTTTAAATTACAGCAGAAAACAACAGAGGGGAAACAAACAGGCACATGAAATCACCCTCAACAAAAGATTCCCCCCAGGCGCTACCAAGCCATTGAATGCAAATCAAGATGATCAGCTGAAACATTCACAGCTAGCCCCAGCAAACAAAAGTCCTTTGTCTCACCCTGGTCATTCCACAGATATATAAACCAATTTTTCCTAGCTCCAACAGACCTCATTACCTCTGAGGATGCTTGCCATAGATGCAGGCGAAACGTCAGGAGAAATGCCTCTAGAACATGGCCCTATAGCCCTATAGTACAAGAACCTACTAATTTCAGCCATGAAAGCCTTCGACAATAAATTCTTCCTCTGTGCACAAGGCAGGGTAATGTGGGCAAGCATACAGATGCTGAGTTGTCTGTTCTGCTCCACAGTCACACAAGGTGGAAAATTCTTCTGGGTAGTGCCATTTGCCAAGCTGCCATTTGCCAACTCTGCTTCTGAGTGTATTCAGAGACTTCCAAGTTGCCCATTCTTGGTTTGCCCCTGGAAGAAGACCCTCGTGGTGGGCCATCCAGTTGGAATTACCAGATTTTGCTGCCCATGTGGATATTCTTACTGTTGCTAGAGGAACATTTAGAGGAGTGGTCATTCTCATGAAATTTTTCCTTGATTTAAGTCTATTGGGAGGAGGCTGATAGCCATATAGTGAGTGGCTTTCACAGTGTTCAACCTTATTTCTCTCGCAATTGGCATCAACTTCCCATCGCACTTCAAGGAGAGAATGCCAACTAGCTTATAGAATCTATCAACAGGTTATGTTTAAGACATTCTGTGATTATTCTACATATCTCATTCAGTGCTATATTCACCTCCTTTGCGTGGGCAGATTTATGCCAGACGGGGCAAGCATACTCAGCAGTTGTTGACTTAATTTATAACTATGGTAGTAAATAGTGATGATGCACAACAGGGTATGTCAATGGGACAGTGCATTAGGAAAGATTATCCTTTGGGTCATATTGACATGGACATGTTTCAAATCAGGAAAACTGCACAATGGCACATTGTACATTGTGACTATTGTGCAATAACCACACTGCTGATGCCACTTTTACAATGGTTCCAATAGCATAGCTATGTCTTCATACATCCCATCCTAAAAAATAAGACTATTGTGCCACGGGGCAATTCTCAGTCCTTTGACTAAGATCAAGTGTAGCATAATTCAATTTTACATGAATCATTTTACAATGATTATAGCATCCCAAAAGGATGCCAGCCTGTGTCTCTAATGAGAAAAACACAGGAAAAATAGAGGTATTCCAAAATCTGGGGGTGGGGGTCTCAAATCTAAAATGCTCAATCTGTAATTTATTACTATACCTTTCCATTTAGAAAAATGTGGATTCTGCATGTATTCATTATGCATTTGGAACCCCCGTAAGAAATTGTGATGCTTTGACACTGCTGGACGATCTGTTAAAATATCCCTCAGAGTTTCAGAAATGCCTCCTGGAGGTGTCATCATGCGTGTTGGTATCTCATGGGGCCTGTCTGGCAAATCAGGCACTTCATCTGTAGAAGACAAAAAGAACATTGTCGATAAACTGGGTGACATTTGATAGTTCATTTAGAGGTACTGAATAGTAAACTAAAGGGGCTTGTTAAACATTGATTTAAAAATAGCTGAAACTTTTCAGTGGATGGTATGAATAATCTTGATTGGTGCTGTATTTTCTTTTTCTGGTGTTTTTTCTTTCAATTGATTTTTACTTTTTTGATGCTTTTATTCATGCTGTATTCAACCCTCCAGATTTGCTTGTATAATTTTTGCAGATTACATTTTTCACAGAATTCATTGATATGGCCTCTCAAGAAATCTAGGTTTTTCAGTGTGACTCTATAGTGAATCATAGAATCATAGAGTTGAAAGAGACCTCATGGGCCATCCAATCCAACCCCATTCTGCCAAGAAGCAGGAAAATTGCATTCAAAGCACACCCAACAGATGGCCATCCAGCCTCTGTTTAAAAGCTTCCAAAGAAGGAGCCTCCACCACACTCCGGGGCAGAGAGTTCCACTGCTGAATGGCTCTCACAGTCAGAAAGTTCTTCCTAATGTTCAGATGGAATCTCCTTTCTTGTAGTTTGAAGCCATTTCTGTCAAAACAGACCATAGAGTCACACTAGAGAACTTAAAGATTCTGAAGGTGTATACCTCATGTTAAAAATATTTTTTCCTGTTTTCTCACTTTTGTGCGGGTCTTGCATTCCTAACCACAGAAATATGTAATTGCATTTTATTTTATTTATGGTGTTTGTAAACTATCTTCCCTCTCTCTAGTAACCAGAATAGAGTGCTGTCTAATCTAGACCTAGTAGCAAAGGTTTAGGTAAAAGGTAAAGTTTTTCCTCTGACATTAAGTCCAGTTGTGTCCAACTCTGACAGTTGGTGCTCATCTCCATTTCTAAGCCGAAGAGCTGGCACCTCCAAGGTTATGAGGCCAGCATGACTGGAGCGCTGTTATCTTCCCGCCGGCATGGTACCAGTGATCTACTTACATTTGCATGTTTTTGAACTGCAAAGTTTACAGAAGCTGGGGTTAACAGCAGGAGCTCATGCTGCTCCCCGGATTAAAACCTGCAAACTTTCGGTCTGCAAGTTCAGCAGCTCAGCACTTTAACCGACTGCACCAATGGGAGTTCCTATGGTTTAGGTAGCCTTATGCATTCTGCAGTTCTATTTCTACAAAACACTTCAGCCGCAAAAGCTCAAATTTACCCATTTCCAGATAATAAGAGATCAGACCACTCTGTATTTTGTTACACTGCAATGATGCAATACATATATTATAACTTACCAATTTCAGTGATAGTATCTCGGGTCCATCTTGTCCAGAAATCTTCTGAATTGTCAGCTGCATTCCAGGCATCCAACAGATTCTTGGAAAATATACTACTCCACATCCCTTAAAGAGAGAGAGAGAGAGAGAGATGAGTGTGTTCCCTTCATTACTTTGCTTTGTCTTCAAAAGTAAAGGGGTTCTGCAAATTCTGTAAAACTCTTGGTTGCAACTTTCCTCTAAATACTTTTATGGCATAAATTCAGGTTGGGGCTGAGCTGCTAAGAAGTTTTCTAAGCGATCAGTTGTGTCTGCCTCTTTTTACTTCATATAAGGAAGCACTGTTGTCTCAGGGCATCAGCTTCTTGTGGCATTTGTTTCTGTTTACCAGAGGAGATGCAAGTTATATGCATAAACACTGCATGTTAAGGGGGAACCCATACATTAATTCCCCCAAGCCCTTAAATTAAATTCCTAGCTTCCACTAGCTGAGTGAATCTGTTGTGCATTTTAGTCTGACCTTTTAAGGGGCTATCCAAGGTGCTAAACTTATTTTGGCAATAGGTTTAATACCTTGGCTGGTATTAAAGTTTGGACAGAACCCCAGGGTGGATTCACTTTCTCATTGACACAAAACTACCAGCTACTACTATCTGATATTTCAAGGAAAGGCTATGGGAACTCTATCCAGAAACTCTAGAGAACCATCATCAATTAGTATAGACCTAGGAATAGCCAAATTCTAAAGGTAGAGGGACTAATTATTCACCATGATCGGTGGGGAGGGATTGCAATGGAGGGAGGGAGGAAGGAAGGGGGGCAGAAGTTTTGCTATCATGTTTGGGGAGATTTAAAGACCCTTTATTCAATTTTCCCACAAACTCCTGGAAGCCTATTGGAGTAGAAAGATCTTTTTTATTTTTACAATAAAAATGTTATGTTAGAGTCAGAAGTGTAAAAGATTATCCTAGAGGCTTTGGGACATGTTAACAGCCTTTGGAACTTCACTTTGCCCAATCCCTGAGCAGGCCTGGACCAATGGCATAGTCAATTTAAGGAAAATTCCCATACTCCAACTACATTTCAACTATGTCCTACAAAACATTAAGAAGTTTTTCTATGCCATGTTATGAGGTAAGGATGACTCAATATGCATGAAGCAATATAAGCAAAATAATTGTAAATACTATTGGTAAAAGGAGTGCTATTTCCACTTTTAAAATATATTTAGCCATTAAAAACATTTTATTGCACATTTTCAATATATTTGCATTTAGTAAGCTAATTATTTAGATTAGCTTACTAAAAAGACTTTAGATTTTATGCAATCAGAATCTACACATGTAGAGGTTGAAGAGACAAAATTTAGTTAAATGAAATATTTCCCAAATATCTCCAAGTGTGGGATGAATAGTGAAATCTCCACCCAGAATTGGAGTTCCAAGTGTGGTTCCTACAAAAAATAATTATGATACTGGCAATTTTATTTTGATCTCTGGCCCTGTTTAATACTCGGATGTAAACACCAATGAATATCCAGATCCTGTGGTCTATGTACTGGCAAATCACTTTTTACTATTCCTGGCCCAAAAAAACATTATGCAATTCTTGGAGTTGCCATAAATTGATGGGTGAAATAAAGAGATACATGCTACATACACATATTTTATGCATGGTACGTACCACCTAGCCTTTGCTTTGCCTTCTTGGCAAATGAACCCCAAGATCCGCAGTGAAAATATAATAGCAACATGATATCAAGAATATTAAAATGTTGCCGAGTACATTATAAATATGTGTTTCGATTAAGATGGGATGTCCCCCTAGTTTAAAATGTTACCTTGCATAAAGCAGATCCTTGATTCTGGGAGTTTCTTCATTAGGTGCCCCATGAAAAACTCACTTCCAAAATCTTCAGCACGAACAAAGCCTCCGTATTTTGGAAATCCCACCTCATAGGGTGTAAACTCCACCCATTCTACAAGGACATACAAGCATTGACACATTTAACATCACAATTTCAACATTTGAAGTGAAAGAGCAGAACAGAATACCAGTGAATATGTTGGCCTTGTTTTTGAGTTAAAGTTAGGGCATTTTGGGGTATAAGGAAATATATTCCCTTTCTATCAGTAATGAGACGTGTGTGTGTGTGTGTGTGTATACACATGCATACATATCATGGTACTATAAATATGAAAAAATGGAAAGATGTTACCTCTAAAATCTTTTGTAGTGACATTATCCTTAACGTTGAGAGCCACATAGATTGGCAGGGGATTCTGACCTCTATTTACTGCCTGTCGTTGTTCTGAGAGTTTCTGGTTGTTGTTCTAAAGGGGAAAATACATCTGATTAACTGTAAAAAAAAATTGGAAATATACACAGATATGAGATAAAGTTGGACCACGCAGTTTTAACTGAACTAATCCCCTGGTACTCATTTCCATCCAAGAAAATCACATCCAAGGGACAAAAGTGAGCATTTTTTAAAGGGTGCATCCACACTGTAGAATTCGTGCAGTTTGAAACCACTTTAACTGCCCTGGCTCAATGCAATGGAACATGAGAGTTGCAATTTTATAAACTCTTTAGCCATCTCTTCCAAAGAGTGCTAGTGCCTCAGCAAAATACAAATCCCAGTTTCACACTCAGAACTACTACACTACACTGAGTCTTCCAAAATGGCTGCCTAGAAATAAAAAACAGATCAGAAAGTGGGAAATTAGCTAAGATTATCTGGAAGAATGGCCCTTCTGAAGTCAACATGAGAATAGACTACTGCTATTTTGAAAAGCACACATATAAATTATATAGGGATATAGGAACCAAGGAGGAAATTCATGATGTAAAGCATTGTTTTTATTCCTTGAAGACCAAACTCTGCATTCATGAGCAAACACCCGAGACTCTTTGCACTGCACAGTTATTCAGTCAGCCCTCCATATCCACGGGTTATTTATCCATGGATTCAACCAATTTTACCTTAATTTTGCCATTTTATCTAAGGGACACCATGTTAGTACACTATTATATATAATGGGACTTGAGCATCTACAGATTTGGTATCCACTGGGGATCCTAGAACCAACCATAGTGGATATCAAAAGCCCATTATAATTCAATGACTCAAATCAAACTGCCACTTGGGATTTGTAGTTTTATGAGGCACTAGACCTCTCTGACTAAGAATTATTAGCATGCTTTCTAAACGGCAAATCCTCGGGATTCCATACAATGCTTTCCATGAAAGTTACAAGTGGAATCATAATACTGTAATTGTCTAGTGTGAAGGGCAGAAAAATGCTGAAAGCAATAAAGGTTGGGAAGACATCAAAGGAAAAGTAGGGAATATTACCCCATCATTCAGCATAGCTTCAATCATGAGTCCCCAAAGATCAATAAAGGACGTCTTATACCCCGCTATGTTCCTTTGACATAGCTCTTTGTAGAAAGATTTCATGCTAGTCAGTGAAAAGGCACTCGTTTTGGATTTGGCCGCTTGCTTCCGAGCATTCTTGATTATCTCTCCAAGATCTTTAGATGACCAATCAGCATCTTCATACAAATCTGTCATGGTCCTGGTTGAAGTGGGGAAAGACATAATAAAAGACATGATCAATAGAGAATAGGCTGATTTTTTTTTTTAAGTCAAGGGATTCACTGCTATATTTACTATATTACATTGGCATTGAATGTTTGCCATTTTTGTTATTTCTGTAAACCACTTTGAGTCCCTGTGGGTAGAGAGGAAGGATTATAAATAAATAATAATAATAATTATTATTATTATTATTACTACTACTACTACTACTATTATATGCATGGCCTCTGTAGAATTTGAGTCTGAGTACCATTGTTGATCCCAGCTGGCTGAAAATTCTATGGATTCAGATAATTTGTTGACCCTTTGGCTCATATAAGTATATGGGGAACTCGCCTTTATTAATTGATTCTGGACCTACTTACCTCTCCGAACGCATCTCCTCCTATGAACCGACTAGGACACTAAGATCATCTGGGGAGGCCCTGCTCTCAGTCCCGCCTGCATCACAGGTGCGCCTGGCGGGGACGAGAGACAGGGCCTTCTCAGTAGTGGTCCCTCGGCTGTGGAATGCCCTGCAGATATCAGATTGGCCCCCTTCCTGCTGGCATTTTGGAGGAAGGTGAAGACCTGGCTCTTCGAACAAGCATTTGACTAAACAGTGTAATTGAACATAGGAATACAGAATAATGGATGTTGAGACTGGATTTTGATTTTACTGTTGAGGCGCTAATGATTATTATACTAATGTTTAATTGTTGATGCTATAATCTGTTTTAATTGCTTTATACTTGTCTTGTGATGTTTTGCATTGATGTTGTTAACCGCTTTGAGTCGCCTGAGAAAGGCTGAGAAGAGAAGTATATAAGTAAATAAATAAATAAATAAATAAATTTATATTCATAGTACCCATATTAATATTTTGATTCATGCTCAGTTCCCAATAAAAGCCCAGAGTGGTGAAAAATCTACCTAAAACACATAGTTGAAATCACAGCTCAAAAGTATCTAAACCAGAGATATCAAATGTCTTTGAAAAGACAAAAAAAGCAATATAATTGAAAACCACAAAAGACAATCATTTTCTTATTCCTTGGAAGGCCTTAGTATTTTATTGCATGAGAAACCAGACTTATAAAGAATCATAGGGCCCATCCAGACAGGGCCCAAAGTGCACAACTCGCACTCTTTTACCGGAGGTGTTCAAAGGATGCCTCTGATAAAATTGAATTAATTTGAGACAAAGCAGGAAAACCCTGCTTTGTCCTGAAGTAATCTGACACCTGGAAAGACCCAGATCATTCATAAGTTCTGAGTCTTTCCAAGTGTGGGCCCTGTGTGGATTGGGACTGAGGATCGTGTTGTGCAATCCCCGGGCCAAATCAACACAGCTATCTCAGGATTTCCAGGCTGCTGGAGCCTGGAAAACCCAAGACAGCACCCACCCCATCCCCCCAACCCCCCAAAAGGCATAAAATTACTAATTACTCACCTGGCTGCCATGAAACTACTGCCAGGGATCTCCTGGTGCGTATAAATGACATGCTGGGGGGGGGGGAGGAGGAAAATTGCTTCTCTCCTCTCCTGGTGCATCATTTCTACACATCTAGAGACATCTAAACACCCTCCCCCCCCCCAAAAAAAAAGGATGGGTTAGGGGGGAGGTATACGGTGTTTAACCCACACACAATCAGGTTTCTTAAACCCAATTGGGTGTGAGTTAAAAGCCTGTTTGGAACTGGCCAGAGAGTTGTAAAAAATAGCAAGGGCCAATGAGAAGGGATTCTATTACTACATCCCATTGTTTGTATGAAATTTTCAATTTGAAATAAAATTTAGGAAATGCTAGCTTTCAAGACATCACAATAAGGCTGCTAGGCTCAATATGGGGCAGGTTATTTATGTCTTAAGTAGTTGACAGATTCCAGTTCAATAGGACACAATGTAAAGTTCTGCCAGGACAAACTACATAATGTTGCCTCCTTTACTCCCCAAATCATTACATGCTGCTTGTGAAATCTTCAACATGGCCTTCATTCAATACTTTGGGAATGAGGGAAGGGTAAGGAATCTGTGTAGAAAGGACCTGAACAAACCACAGCAAAGAAAATACAGTCCCTTACCATGTTGTACCCGATGACCCAGTGATGTATGAAACACAGTCCAAAAGTTTCATTCTTTGGAGACCCCAAAGGGTGCCATACATAGCTGCCAAAGCTCTCATTCCAGTCCCCGTAGTTGTTACAGCGACCACAGGCACCTGTTTGTCAAAGAAATATTGTCATAGAAATACGCTGAGAATATTACCCCCCAAAGCCAACAAAAAACCCTATTTCCAACAAAAGGGGCATAGATCATTAGATGCATAAAGATTTCCAATTTTTATATGAATGGGAAAAGGAAAGGCATGTGTGCCACCTTGTGTTCCTTCTAGGAAAAGCAGGAAATGAATTTCCATGATAAAAATAATGATAAGAATGATATTATGCTGCTGGGAAGGTTGTGGATGGGATTTTGGAAGAATTGAGAGTTTTAAATGTAATTTTAATTGTGTTTATTGTATTTAAATTGTATTCTAACATTACGTCCACACACTATTTTCTTTGTTTTATATTGTTATGAGATTGTGTACTTGTTAGCCACATTGAGTCCCTATGGGGAGAAAAGTGGGATATAAAATATTATTATTATTAATAATAATAATAATAATAATAATAATAATAATACATATTAGATATTGGATATAATTATGTTATAAGTTCATTACCCTTCTCTGCCAAAGACTGTTGGCACCTCATCAAACTATAAATCCCAGGATTCCATAGCACTGAGCCATGGCAGTTAAAGTGGTGTCAAACTCTATTAATCCTACAGTGTAGATGTTCCCTAGGACACATATGGCCAAGCAACATCAGATTGTGATCAAGACAACAAAAAATAGCAATGAAGGAGAACAGACAAACAAGGAGAGGCTGCTGCAGTTTGCTTTTGCCTGGGCCTACTGGATAGGCCCTTCTGTTCTTCCTGCTACTGAGGAAGCTTCCAGACAGAACCAAAACATGGGATTAATATGCGGGACTAACAAACCCAGGATCCCAGAGTAGGTCCCCACACAAACCTACCGGATCTGGGCTTTCTTCTCCCACTATCCTTTCTTTGACTCGGGATAAAAATGGAGAGCGAACAGGGGCCATCTGCCAGAATTTTTTTAATCACTCAATTATACACCAATGCTTATATGAGCACATGCAAATATGGAGAGCTTCCTATGTGTGCATAAACGCATCAGCGCATAACGGCAGGATTTTTTCAATTCTCCCAGATTTCCCTTTTTCCCCAATTGCTTATTTAATATTATGAAGTTTAAAATGAACACTTTTAGCAACCTCTAATGGCTCTCCATTTCTCCCCTCTTGAAACCAGCTGCAAATCAGCTATGTCTCCATGGGAGCCTGAACAGCTGATCTACTGTTTTGGGCTTTTTTTTTTTAAAAGCAGCATGGGTGGGAAGCAGCCTCCATAGGGGTAAAGAGGGAAATCCCAAGCTTTACATGACTGCGGAGCCACCTAGTCATGGGAAAATCTGCTTTTTTTTCACCTAGAACTGGGATAAGAGAGGACCTTTTTGAATCAGGTTGTCCCTCCATTGCTACAATTGAGCACGCATTTAACACAAACATCATTTGGACACCCCCCCCCTTTTTTTAACCCATTCCTTCCTGAATTATAGGTATTGTGTGGAAATGCCTGGAGTTTGTTGTTTATTCACCCAGAGTTAACTAAATGCAAACTAGCAATGCTTTTTGAACTCAGTTTGTAACCATCGAAATAAGCTGAGGAAAAAAACAGAAAAGTGGGAGGTGGAGAAAGAACTAGGATATTTTAAAAGCAGCTGAAATACTGGGATGGCTGAGGATTAATTAGAACTGTCCCGGCCAAATTGGGTTAATGGGAGGATATATAATATTGTGGTTTTAATATCATTTATTTATTTACAATTTTTGTTTTTATATTTATAATTATAAAATGCTTTGGGATGATACCCAACTTAAAAAGTGGACATCTCAAAAAATTCATCAAATTGCAGGTGCAAGAAAGACATTAAAGGGCTTCTTTCTGTCATGGGTCAGTTGCAGAACACCCAAACTAATACTAGAAACAGCTGCCTCATGCTTATGTTCCTCTTACTTCATGATCCTGCAGGTTGTGTCCTAATTGAAGAATATTTTTCAGTGTACTAGCAACCACTTTCTTCCTTTTCTTGAGGAAACTATTTTCATCTGAGCACAGATCATATCCCAAACGCACATCAATTTCTTTTGGCCTTCGAAATAGTATCCCTTGAGTCCTAAAACAAGAAGGAAAGTACAGTGTACAATCATTTATATTTGTAGACTGCCATCTAGCTAACAACAATCTCAATTGTAATACCAACAACAGGGAACGTGTGTGCAGGTTAGAGAATAGGAAATTAAATAAGTCATAGGTTGCTAATCTAACTGAAAAAAAAAACATTATTTATTAAAATAACTTAATTACATTCTGTATTCTTATTGAAAAACAGGTGGAAGAACCATGTTTACCATATTCACACTTCACAATTTTATGAGATTTTGAAGAAGAATCTGAGCTAGGAGAAAAGAGAACAAGGGTCTGTGAAAGTGTACTAGAAAAAAAGAAAAGTTTCTCTTACCAGTCTTTCGATTTCACACTCAAATCAAAGGTTTTGTTCTGAAAAATAAATACCAAAATTATTTAATCTAGCATTGGTATGAAACAATAATTATTTTCCATTTCAGATGGCATTTCACATGTTGCTGTCAATGCTGAAAAACATGGTGTCATTTCTTCCTATTCTATGTCCCATCAGCAGCAGGATCTCAAGCAAATTTAGGAAGGAAACCATGCTAAGCATGTCATTTGGTTTCATACAATGTGAGCCATACTTGTTGGAAAGCATTGCTAGAAGTTAATGACAGGATGGCAAATGGTTGCTTTTGTATTATAAATGATGGTGCAAGTACACTCTGCATGATCTCATGAATTAAAAGCAAGATGTTTACCACCACCACCTGGTCCACCACCAAATAAGGCAACAGCTGGTTCTCACCGGTGGTATCGTCACTTTTTTTTCTACAGGAAGTGAGGTCAAGTGAAGTGTTGCTTTCTCATTCCCCTCCGGCCCCTGAGAATAAAATAAAGTTAACACTATGAAAAAGTTTTATAAAAAATCCATATTCCTATATTGTGTTTCTGGAGGAATAATGAGATACACACAGATCTAAATGTAGCTGCCCTTGTGATAAACTACCAAGGATTAAAGTTTTGATCAGATGTTGGAGAGTAAAAGTAAGGGGGGGGGGGGGAAGAATTATGATTAATCTGGTCAAAACGGTGGCTGACCTAAAAAATTGATCAAAGTTTTTGGAAATGTTTACTTTTCAAAAACCTTATTGTGAGACTTGGTTACATGGACATTAAAACCAGGACTCAACCTGAGTTGTCTCCCAACCATCCACACAACATTTATTTATTTATTTATTTATTTATTTATTTATTTATTTATTTATTTATTATATTTCTATACCACCCTTCTCAGCCCGAGGGTGACTCAGGGCGGTTTACAAAATTTATCCACTTCTGGTAAATATTATGGATGAAACTAGATTAAACCAGTTCACTTGAAATACTGGAATACCCCTATGATTTGAGTGTGGGCAAAATGGGAGGGATTGTGCCCATGTTGCCACTCCTAGTTCAGCACAGCACTCCATGTGAGCTCATGGCCATTACACATGCCCTTTGCTGACATCAGCAGAGTTACCCACATGAACAGAAAGAAGGTGGAACGATTCATCTTCATAGTTGTGGTGACCAGGAGCTCTGCACCTGGTTGGGAATGGCAATGTTTAGACTATAAATGGCCCTAGATCAACCAAAGGTGACTTTCTCTGTTTTGTGGAAGTAAACAACATACCGGGCAGAGCAGTCCCCTTCGCAGTTCAATATCCAGTTCTGATTGGTTGTATTTAACATAGTAGAATTTAGCAGGAGAAGCAGAGCAAATCCAGGAACTCAGTGTGAGATTTTTAGCTTTTTCATAGGACCCATCCACAGAAAGGGTGAATTTACTTTCTGAAGAAAGACAAAAAAGGAAAAAGAGATCAATATACCGATAAATCATAAAAACATTGGGTGCAATACACTTTGTATAAAATCTTTTGTATCATTGGTTACATGCACTATGAATAAAATAATTATTTATGTTTGTTTGGGGTCCTATTTTATTTTATCATACTATATTATGTTTGCAAAGATATATTTGCAAAGTCGATTCCAATTTATGGTGGCTCTGAGTTGAACCTTTCACAAAAAATTTCTGGCAAGATTCCTTCAGAGATAAAATCATAGAATCATAGAGTTGGAAGAGACCTCATGGGCCATCCAGTCCAACCCCCACCAAGAAGCAGGAAAATACATTCAAAGCACCCCCGACAGATGGCCATCCAGCCTCTGTTTAAAAGCTTCCAAAGAAGGAGCCTCCACCACAATCTGGAGCAGAGAGTTCCACTGCTGAACAGCTCTCACAGCCAGGAAGTTCTTCCTAATGTTCAGATGGAATCTCCTTTCTTGTAGTTTGAAGCCATTGTTCCTTGTCCTAATCTCCATGGAAGCAGTAAACAAGCTTGCTCCCTCCTCCCTATGACTTCCTCTCACATATTTATACATGGCTATTATGTCTCCTCTCAGCCTTCTCTTCTTCAGACTAAACATGCCCAGCTCTTTAAGCCAATCGTCATAGGGCTTGTTCTCCAGACCCTTGATCATTTTAGTCGCTCTCCTCTGGACACATTCCAGCTTGTCAATATCTCCTTCAATTGTGGTGCCCAGAATTGGACACAATATTCCAGGTGTGATCTAATCAAGGCAGAATCGAGAGGTAGCATGATTTCCTTGGATCTAGACACTATACTCCTATCGATACAGGCCAAAATCCCATTGGCTTTTTTTGCCGCTGCAACACATTGTTGGCTCATGTTTAACTTGTTGTCCACAAGGACTCCCAAGATCTTTTTCATATGTACTGCTCTCGAGCCATGCGTCCCCCATTCTGTATCTTTGCATTTAATTTTTTCTGCCTAAGTGGAGTATTTTGCATTTGTCACTGTTGAACTTTATTTTGTTAGTTTTGGCCCTTCTCTCTAATCTATTAAGATCATTTTGAATCCTGCTCCTGTCCTCTGGAGTATTGGCTATCCCTCCCAATTTGGTGTCATCTGCAAACTTGATTATCATGCCTTCTAACCCTTCATCTAAGTCGTTTATAAAAATGTTGAACAGGACCGGGCCCAGGACGGAACCCTGCAGCACTCCGCTCGTCACTTCTTTCCAGGATGAAGAGGAGGCATTGGTGAGCATCCTCTGGGTTTGTCCACTTAACCAATTACAGATCCACCTAACCGTTGTTTTGCCTAGCCCACATTGGACTAGCTTGTTTGCCAGAAGGTCATGGGGGACCTTGTCGAAAGCCTTAGTGAAATCCAGGTATTCTACATCAATGGCATTCCTCGCATCTATCCAGCTTGTAACTCTATAAAAAAAAGAGATCAGATTAGTCTGGCATGACTTGTTTTTGATAAATCCGTGTTGACTATTAGCGATGACCGCATTTGTTTCTAAGTGTTTGCAGACCACTTCCGTAACAATCTTTTCCAGAATCTTGCCTGGTATTGACTGGACGGTAATTGTTTGGGTCATCCTTTTTTTTCCCTTCTTGAAGACTGGGACCATATTGGCCCTCCTCCAATCTACTGGAACTTCTCTCGTTTTCCAAGAACTCTAAAAGATGATTGCCAATGGTTCCGAGATGACTTCCGCTAGTTCCTTCAATACTCTTAGGTGTAGTTGATCTGGCCCTGGGGACTTGAACTCATTTAGAGAGGCCAGGTATTCCTGGATGAGTTGTTTCCCAATTTGGGGTTGGATGTCCTCTAATCCCTCATCCACTCCATCTTGCTGAGGTTGAAGATGATTTTCTTTTTGTGAGAAGACCGAGGCAAAGAAAGCATTAAGTAGTTCTACCTTTTCCCTATCCCCTGTCAGCATTGTCCCATCTTCTCCTCGCAGAAGCCCTATTGCCTCCTTATTCTTCCTTTTTCTACTGACGTAAGAAAAGAAGCCCTTTTTATTGTCTTTAATGTCCCTAGCAAGCCTGAATTTGTTTTGTGCTTTAGCCTTGCGAACCTTTCCCCTACAGGAGTTGGCTATTTGTTTGAATTCTTCTTTGGTAATTTCTCCCTTTTTCCACTTCTTGTGCATGTCTCTTTTGAGTCTTAGCACAGTTAGAAGTTCTTTGGACATCCATTCTGGCTTCTTTGCACTTGTCCTGTTTTTTCTCTTTGTTGACACTGTTTACAATTACGCCTTGAGTATTTTACTCTTGAAAAACTCCCATCCATCCGTAACTCCCTTGTCTTTTAGTATCTGTGTCCATGGAAGGCTGCTCAGTATTTCCTTCATTTTCCAGAAGTCCAAAATGTGGGTTTGACTTGTCTTAGTTTCGGCCTTCCTTTGTACCTCAAACTGCAGGAGCACATGGTCACTTGCCACTAAGAATCCGACCACTTCAACTGCATTGATCAGGTCCTCCACATTTGTTAGGATCAGATCGAGAGTAGCCGACCCCCTTGTTGCCTCTTCTACCTTCTGGACCATGAAATTGTCTGCAAGGCAAGTGAGGAATTTGTTGGACTTTGTACTCCTGGCCGAGTTTGTTTTCCAGCAAATATCAGGCTAGTTGAAATCGCCCATGACTACTATATCTCTTCTTTGTGCCTGTTTGGTCAACTGTTGGCAGACGACTTCATCAAGTTCTTCATCTTGGCTTAGAGGTCTGTAGTACATGCCTATAACGAGATCTCTTTGAGTCCCAGTTTCCTTGATTCTTATCCAGATGCTTTCAAGCTGGTTTCCCGGATTGCAGTCTTCTGCAGCGTAACAGTTTTTGACATATAAAGCTACTCCGCCTCCTCTCCCCTTTGTTCGGTTTCTGTGAAAGAGGTTATAGCTCTCAATGTCTATATTCTAGCAATAGGAGTCATCCCATCAGGTTTCAGTGATGCCTATGACATCATCAGATAGTTTTCCGTGGCCTTCCTTTGAGGTAACTAGGGCATGGACCACCATGGCCAAGTCAGACTTCACAATGTATGGGTGCAGCCACCACCGACACCTGAACATCAAGTGTCAAAGTAGAGTCCCGGGGAAGTGTAACTCCATTGAGTACAGGTAGCCACCCTATACCCCGATCAGTCCTACGACTGACCAGGAGGACCTCTGTTTTGTCAGGATTAAGCTTCGGTTTGTTAGCCCTCATCCAGCCCATCACAGATGCCAGACACTGGTCAAGAATCTGAGGGGCTTCTTTGGAATCAGGTTGAAAAGAGTAATAGAGTTGAGTGTCATCCACATAGAGATGGCATCAAATTCCAAAACTCAAGATGACCTTGCCCAGTGGTTTCATGTAAATGTTGAAGAGCATAGGGGAAAGAATAGAACCTTGCGGGACCCCACAGGTCAAATGCCAGGGGTCCGTGCAGGCATCCCCCAGCTGTTGGCTTTAGGGAGTTCTATATAGGGTTCCCTTAGGAGTTACCCTATCGCAATATCCACAAACTCCAACCAGTAAAGCTCAAGAGGTGATTGTGAATCAGATCCATAAACACTAAGCAGGGGAGTGGACTATAGAGAAGCAGACAGAGGCCAAGGTTGTCAACTGCTTTTGCTTACCATTGAAATAAAAGCACTCATGAAGAAACCTACCTGATTTCACTCGTCCCTTATCCACTTGAACTTCCAAGCAGGCAACTTCACGAGACTGAAAAGTTAAAACAAATCACAGTAAATGATAGTCTATGGGATAAATGTATGATACATATTTTTATATCCCAATTGACTTTTTTTTGTCTATTCAGATTGTTTTGAGATGAAAGCAGCACAAAAGAAATAAGTCTGACCTCACAAAGTTTTAACCCTTACTTTAGCTTTTCTCAAACTTTTCACTTTGGAGAAATCCTTGAAATAATGTTAAGGTCCTGAGGAACCTCTGAATAAAAAAAATATTCTATCTACAACTCAAAATAAATGTTGATTCTTCCCAACCATATTCTCTTATAGAACCCCAGACAATCTTATGGGAACCCTCAAATTCCAGGGAACCTTGATTGAGAAACCCTGCCTTACAATGATTTCCTGAGCTAGAAATCAGACCTGGAAGAAACAAAGCAAGAATAAAAGAGGTTGCCTTTAAATTTGTTAAGGGACAATTATTCCTTCTCCACTACTGAGTAACCCCACATTACGGTTAACCTAGGCTTCCTGTGTTACAGAGGGCAGAAAGAAGCAAGGGGAATATATGCCTTTAGAGTCAGTCCTTGATATCTCCTGGTTTGGGTTTCAAGACTCACAAAATCTGTGGGTGCTCATATCCCATTGTACACAATGATGCAGTAAAATAAAAAAATCAAGGTTTGTGTTTTGGAATTTTGTTTGTTGATTTAAAAGAAATTTCAAGTTGTAGATGACCGCATCTGTGAAGTCATAATCTGTGGATATGGAGGGCTGGTTGTATTGGCTGCCAGGGGAAGGGCAGGTGAATACTCCATTTAGCAATGTTGGGAGGCAAATTCTACCCACTGCCCTGACATTACATAGTTCCTGACACTAATGTGATATCTCCCTCACCTGACTCAAGCAGTGGTGGTTGGAAGATAACAATTTGCTGGCCTCCACAGGAAGAGGCCAGCCTCAATAGTTCTTATTCCATGTGGTTGGACTTGGGGCAGACCTCCTTGGCCTATTTAGGGCAGCAATGGAATTTGTTGACCCACCTTCATGCCTCCTTATCACTGCAACTAACAACAACTCTTAGATTGTACTGACTCCTACACGCCCTGCCAAATAGTTGTAAACCTTCATCGGTTAGCAGGTGGACACACACAATGGCATCCCAGCAACTCCCATCCTGCTGACATTTCCTGATTTGGAACAAGAAAGTCCAGCATGGTGGGAGGCAAAGTTACAGGTTTGGCTCTGTGTGGGTGAGTTGCTCCAGGCACCTCGCCTACACAGATAAGTGTCTGGAAAAAGTATGTGTTGGGATTACAAATCTGAAAAAACCCAACCAGCTGTCATACAACGGTCATCTTCCTCCCAAATTGGAAGATGGAGGGATTGTGTGGATATTATTAGGATGTTTGAATTAATCTCTGTAGATAGAAATTGAGGAGGATGACTGCTAAAATTCATTGCAACTGGACCTAGTTTGCAGCTGGATCAACCAAAGGCCTTTTCTTTTATTTCGTAACTATCAAAATACTCTTTATTATGTTTAGTGTTTTGATACTTAAGAAATCCTATTAAATCCCGATACCACCCTGACCAAATCCCCAAACTTTTCCATGCCAGTGTGAGGTAGGTGGAAAAAACCCTTAAATTGGGAAGTGGGAGAGAGATTCCTATCTGGCCTATAATACTTAATACTGTACAAGGCATTTACAGTGATTTTCCAATATTCATTTTGAAAGAGTGTACACTTTATTTTTACCACTTGGAGGCAACCTTGATCACATTGCGGAAGCACTAACGTTGCTTAGAAGTGAAGAATTGTTTGGTTTGGTTTATTTGGGTGGGAGAGCGAGAATTTTCAGAAAGTTTTTCTATTGAAAGGTCACTTTTCCCAAGATTTAAACTAATTTATAGGAAAGTTGCATCCAAGTTTGCTGTCCCCATGTAGGTTTCCCTCAATATAGCTTCAGAGAACTTGTGGGTGAGCTGAGAGGTTAACAACACAAATTCTAGTTTCAACCAGTCACATAAAAGTATGATTGTTTGAGTGTAAGAAGTCTCATTTTAGGGTCTTTAGGTTTATTAACCATGTTGAGAAGGAAAAGTAATAGAAAAATATTATTACCACTAAGACTCCATTAGTAAAAATCTTTTCTGGAACATCAGGACTGCAAGAGACAAAAATATGAACAAAATTGTTAAAATTGTTGCAGGATTGGCATTTTATTTGTAGCCTTGCTTGCTTCTCTAAGAGTGTATCTCGATAGTCCCTTTATTGTGGAAACTTCCGCAATAAAAAGGGGGGTTACTGTCCAGACAATGTTCTTGACAATCCCAAATTAATTCACCACAAACTAGGAAAATCCCGGTTTATGGTGAATTAATTAAATAGTGGGTTTATTCCGTGCCTTCTTGGAAGGCGCGAGATAAACCCATTACTTCCGGTCCAGACAACATTCCCACAGCTTTCCAGGCTAAATTAGCCTGGAAAACTGTGGGAGTCACAACACTGTGGGAGTCACAAAGTCCTAAAAAACCCCTTTTGAAAAATAAAAGTACTTACCAGCCTCCATAGGAGAGTTGCGGCAATTCTCCAATGGAGGCTGGTAAGTACTTTTATTTTTAAGAGGGTTTTAGGGCTTTTGGGGAAGGGGTAGAGTCTCCAGATGTTCTCTCGGGCCAGTCCTGGAAGAACTTCTGGACACCCACCCAAGAAAGCATGCACTTTCTGGGGCAAGTGTGCACAGGGCCCCAGGAACATGCACATCTTTTAAATATGGATATTTTTTTTGTCGTGTCAGGAGCAACCGCTCCTGTTGTGAGAGAATTGGCCGTCTGCAAGGACGTTGCCCAGGGGACGCCCGGATGATTTCTGATGTTTTGTCATCCTTGTGGGAGGCTTCTCTCTTGTCCCCACATGAGGAGCTGGAGCCGATAGAGGGAGCTCATCCGCCTCTCCCGGGATTCGAACCTGCGACCTGTCGGTCTTCAGTCCTGCCAGCACAGGGCTTTAAACCACTGCGCCACCAGGGGCTCCTAAATACGGATGCTCCTGGGATAAAGCCCTGTATGGAAAGGCCCTAAGTCTCAAGAATTGCATCTCTTGTGAGGTTTGAACAGATTTGCAGCTGAACTGCTCTTGACATGACCAAGACAAAGGAAGTATGGTGCCATTGCCCTAATATATAGGCATCCTTGCCTTACTTATCCCAGGAGTTAAGGTCTCTTTTCAAAGAAAACAGAAACAGTATATGAGGGAAAAGTCCAAGATGGTAGGAAACAGGAGGATCAAAGTAGGAAAGAAGGGAGAAAATCTAGAGGAAGAACCAACAGCCAGCCTTTAAAGAAGTAGGGACATTCCCATTATAACCATAATCTGTAACAACAAAACTCCACAAAATCAGATTATGAAGTGGATCTTCTTCTCAGGAACAGCAGCACTAAGGAAGGCATGCAGGTGCCTGCTTAGCACAAAAGGTCCAAGTCATGGCCTTTTTGACAAGCCCCATCCAATATGGCTGAGATATATTCTAATGCTACTATTTTTGCTCCATGATGGGAATATGAATGTGCACTACCAATGATACCAGGCCAGGCATCAAGGAAGGTAGAAAAAAAATCCATGCTGTGTGTTTTGGCATCACAAATTGTTAATATTATGAGTGGGTGACCATGCATTTTCAATTCACCCATCAACTTATGGTGCCCCTATGAATTTCATAGTGTTTTCATAGACAAGGAATACTGAGATATGATTTGCCAGTTCCTTCCTTCAAAATACAGTTGCTCCTTGGTATCTGCTGGGGCTTGGTTTCAGGACACCCTATGAATACCAAAAATCCATAGTTTCGCAAGTCCCATTAATACAATGGTGTAGTAAAATGGTGCCCCATATATAAAATTATAAAATCAAGAATTGTTTTTTTAAATATTTTCAAGCCATGGATGGATGAATATATGGAAAGGAAATGTGTGGATATAGAGGACCAAATGTATATCCCACAGTACCTGATATTCACTGACAGTTTCCAAGTACGAAGCAAGGCTTGTCCTGTTTAGCTTCCAAGTTCAGACAGGATCTGGTGCCTTTAATTGTATACTGAACAAGAATTGCTCTTACCTGCTCTCTAGAGTGAATTCAACTTCTAGCTCCTCCTTACCCTAAAAGTTAAAATAAAAACAACAATGTGATTAAACATCATAATTTCCTTTCAACATTAATACTCTTTACACATGAATGATGTGAATAGGTTTCCACATATAGAAGGTCAAAATGGCAGACATGCCACAAACCTCTACCTTAAAGCTGGATAGTACTCCTGACATCTGCATGTTGAAGGCGGATATTTGAGCTAGAGAAAATTATAAATTCCATCCTCTGCGAGCATATTCTTTCCACATCTATCTAGGAATCTATCTATTCCTAGGCTTTCTTGACTCACACTCACTACCTGGATGCCCAGGATCTATGTGACTTAAGGGACAGAGATGGTAGTTTACCTCCATAGACATTTCAGCATATGGCTATTAAAAAGGATGATATTGTAATAATAATAATATTAATAATAATATTCAGTATATGGCTATTAAAAAGGATGCTGCTGTAATAATAATATTAATAATAATAATAATATTCAGTATATGGCTATTTAAAAAGATGATGTTGTAATAATAATAATAATAATAATAATAATAATAATAATAATGTTTTTATTTCTTTCCTGCCTCTCCTCATGGCGGGTCACAGCACAGTCAAAACACACAAACATAGCAAAAATTCTATAAACACGTGTATTAAATGTAGTTCTATAAAAGACACATATTAAAATACACAGAGCAGAGATTAAAACACTGGACACTGGTTTAAAGTTCATGCTTAAAACTGGTTGGGTAGGCCTAATCAAAGAGATAGGTCTTTAGATGGATTTTAAATTCTGACAGCCCATTTAGTAGTCGGAGCTCTTCCAGCAGGGCATTGCACAGTCTTGGGGAAGCCAATGAAAAGATCCTCTGGGTGATGGTGGCCAGTAAAGTTCTGGCTGGTTGGAGCAGATTCCCTCAGTGTTTGGGGCTGATTGTATGGGAGAAGCGATCCTGTAGGTAACCTGGACCCAAACCATGTAGGGTATTAAAAGTAACAACTAACACTTTGTAATTTGCTCAGAAACTAATTGGCAGCCAGAGTTTAGGATAGGTGTTATATGCTCATTCCTGGATATTCCCGTAATCAATCTGGCTGCTATATTTTGAACCGGCTGGAATTTCCGAACTTGGTACAAAGGTAGCCCAATGTAAAGTACATTGCAGAAGTCCAACCTTGAGGTTACCAGCATATGCCCTACCATCTTTACGTCCTTCAAATTTAGGAAGGAGCGCAAATTGTACATTATGGAACAATGACAAATAATTTCCTATTAAGTAGTGTATAGCTTCTTAAGAGCATGCTGTAATGTAAGCACATTGTCCTCACTGTTCTCCATTGTCTTTCTCCTTATGTGGGGAAAATAAAGAGAACCTTCACTTTGCTTAATGACTCTCCACATGATCTACAACTCTGAAAAATAAGAATTGTCACTCTGAGCTGTATTTTTAAAACATTGGGCCTGTTCAAGAACTTTTCCAATATTATGTAACACAGTGTTCCCCAACAAACAGCATGTATTATTATTATTATTATTATTATTATTATTATTATTATTGTCAACATCCTCATCCTCCTCTCTACCTCTCCCCTTTCGCTCTCCTTATAACAAAATTGTCCATTTTCTGTTTATTTTATATTCCATAGTTATATTTGCCTTTTTTCAAGGTTGGTATTGCAAAAATATTATAAAATAAAGTAAGTGGTAATACAGGAAGATAGGGTTATAAGGATACATAAAAGTATAGTTGCAGGACCACAAATTGGCAAATCAGTACAATTACATAATTGAAGAGAGGTGTGTTATCAAAGGTGCTCAATACAGTATGTATTCACTATTAATGACAGTGCTACTATAATGGAAGATTCGTGCAATAAAAACCTTAGATCAGGGATGTTTAACGGCCCAGTTACTCATAACAGACTTGTCAGATGTGATAAACAACAGTGCTGTATTTAATGCAAACATTCTTCCCATATACAGTAAGATTACTCATTATTGGAAAGAAAACTTCACTGAAAACAGAGAAATGCAGCTTCCCTATCCAATGTCACAGTCTGCTTGTTAGCTGCATTATGCACCTTTGGATTAAGCTGAAAATTGAGACAAACTGTTTCTCCAAGCTTGATTTTTGATACATCGAAGAACACAGTGAGAAGGTGGTCATCTGCAGTGTGCTTGTCTTCATCACAGACTTTAAACTCCAGAACGTTCTAGGGAAAGAAAAACAAGATGCAAACTTTAGAACTGGAACTGACTCCGCTGGGCATTTGTTGTCACCACACTGAAACATTTAATTCAACCAGAATTGTTTTTAATTTCACAAGCAACAAAAGAGTGAAGATCCCCCTCTCCTTATAAATATGGAGTGCATATATAAATTGCATGCAGGTAATTTACTTCATTTGTTTGCTAATTGCATATTCCTGAATACATAAGCAACAATATGCTTATTGGTCCCATGTCACAGCACTTAGCACTTTATGAGTTTCTACTGAGCAGCATTTGGTTACCAGCAAAAACCAGTGACATGAGCAAGGTATGGGTTATCATATTAGGTTTCACATAAGATTTAACCAAACAACTACAAACATTTTCTCTCAGACTCATGTATAATCCTTGTCAAGATACTACTGTATATAATTAAAGTGAAACTAAACATGAAAGCCACATTTATCTGGGTGATTCATTTACAACAGTGGTGCCCAACCTGTGGTCTGTGGACCACCAGTGGTCTGCAAGAACAAAAATATGGTCTAGAGCCTCACTGTTATTACACCATTGCAACGAGAATGGCTGCTCTTATGAAACCCTCTTATAGTGCCAATGTAATGGGGATGTGGGGAATGGAGAGGCTGACTACCCACAAAAGGCACAACAACAAGCCTCCTGACTGCTGTTTGTCCTCCTCCCTCCCCCTGAGTGAAGCCATTTCATGGGCACCTGGAAGCAGGGGTGCCTTGGTGTATTCATTTTTAGACCTGTTCCTGGGGTTACTTGGTGTACTGATTCAGAAAATTGCATTGCATAGACCACATCAGCTCTAGATTATGAAATATGGTTTTCTGTGAGTGAGCAAATGGTGACTACCCGATGGCATATGTTTTGTATGGGAAACTAGAGCTGATGTGGTCTATCCAATGAAATTTTCTGAATCATCACCCCAAATAACCAAACCATAACCCTTTTGGTACTAATGTTGGAGAGTGGTCCCTGGTCAAAGTGGTTGCTGGTCAAGTGGTCCCTGGTCAAGAAAAGGCTGAGAACCACTGATTTACAAGGAATAGAAAAGGTAAATTTAGAAAAGGGTAAAACATTTTGCATGTATCTGAATTGCATACTTCCTTTGTATAATAGGGTTACAGTGTAGCCTGCTTCAAGATTTCCATGGAAAGTTTAACACTGAACTGTTGATTGACTACAAATACCAACATCCCTCATCACCACAGCCAATGCTGAAGAAGCTGGGGGCCCTTCTACAAAGCACCTACAACATGTAAGTTACTCGGTTATGGGGGGGGGGGGGAAATCATGATGCTAGCAGTAAATCTGTGCTGATTCACTGCAGTGGATGAAAAACAGGTTTAAAAGTTCCACTTATGTACTGATTCCATCTAGAAAATGTGCATATTCACATCACTGTATATTCCTGCACTCGCGAAAAACACGTGATTTCCTTCCCCCCCCCCCCCCCCCCTTCTCTGTGGAGACTGCTCCAGCACACATCCACTTGTTAAAAACCTGAAAAAGCTGATCAACTGATTGGGCTGTAAAACGGACACGAGAGCTGATTTTAAGGAAGCACAAATGGAAAGCGATTAGAACTCCCTGAAACTCTTTATTTTACACTTTATAGTATTAAACAGAACTTGAATAAACAATTGTGGGAAGAGAGAAATCTGGCTGAAGTTTTTTAAAGAAAAATTACTCTGTTATGTGCTGAACACATGCAAATCTGCTTATATTTATAGACAATCCAATGCATAACCAAGTATTTTTTTAAAAAAAAAAAACCTTGCACCGGATGCCCCCCGCCCACCCTCCATCTTGTTCCAATACAGAGGAAGTCTGTGAAGATGGTGGGGGACCCAATCCGTGATTGACAGGTCTGTGTATGGATCTGCAGACAGGGCTCAGGATTTATTTTTTTTACTCCCATTTTAAACCCAGATTTTTAGTTCTGTCTGGAAGCGCCCTGGGTCTTTCAGATCAACAATATATAGAGAGATTTATGTAATTCCTGCTTTAATTTTTTTAAAAAAAAATCCAAGGAACAGAGGTAAGTATATGAGTGAGTTTAGTGAGATGAGTTTTGGGCTACTTTGGATGGTGGTAGGAAACATTATCTCAAGCTTCTCTATAGGTGCATCTACACGGCAGAATTAATGCAATTGATGAACCACTTTGACCCCCAAGGCTCAAAGCTGCAGAATCATAAGAGCTGTAGTTTTACAAGATTTTTAGTCATATCTGACAAAGGGTTCTGGTGCCTCACCAAACTACAAATCCCATAATTTCACAGCATTGAGCCATGGCTATTAAATCAGTGTCAAAGTGCATTAATTCTACAGCATATAACCAGCTTATAAAGATATTTTTCTATAAATAAAAACATTAGGCTTTGCCATCATAAAATCAGTTGATGTTGAATCCTGTTCAACAATGTGATACATCAGTCATGACTAACTCTAATCCAGACCCTTTGGATTGAAACATGCTCAAGGCAAGAAGGATCATGAACAATCTCCTAAAACTTAAAACACCTTCTATCAAGTAGAAAGGTTTCATCTCTAGCACTCAACCATATGATTAAGCCTGTCATTGTAACTCCTTGATTATGTCCTTTATCCTGGAGTTTTAAGTTGAGAGGTAAATACATTGATCATAACTGTGAAGTGAGAGGGTTATGACACCTCCCCACGCTACCATAAGTACATACTTGTAGATATTAATTTGTTTAGGGTGAGACAGGGCTTCTTCCAGGCACAACCTCACAGAGAATTGTGAAATGGACCTTAAAACTCATGTCTATAATTACTGGAAATATAGCATGTAGGAAGACTGCAAAGAATGAGTTTGGCGCTGTGCCCACAGCTTACTTTGGGCACTTCCCCCAGATGTTTTGGGCTTCAGTTCCCAGAAGTCTCAGTCAGCATGGCTAATGATAAAGAACTAGAGTAGTGACAATCCACACCATCTAATAAATCAAAGGTTTCATGCCTCTGCTTGGTAAGTTGTTCAATGCACCACAACAATGCAGCAATAAATAATTGTATTGCTGATTAGACAAGAGCCAACTGAGGTTGTGATTCCTCTTTGCTGCACAACTTTATAGCTGACAGTTAAGCACCAATCACCAGCAAACATAACAACAAAAGTCACCACCCGTAGTCTGCCTTGCTTGGGCATTCCTGGTTTTTTAGTCATCTCCCAGGAGATACCATGATCCCTTTAGAGGTTGTGTGATATTGTTACTTGAGGAGGGAAGAAGAACAAAATGCGGCAGCTTTCCATAGCAGCTTTTAAATCTACACTATAGAAGTAATGCAACTTCGTACCACTTTAACTGTCATGGCTCAATGCTTTGAAATCATGGGAGTTGTCATTTTACAACAAGACTTTAGACTTCTCTGTCCGTAGGTGCTAGAATGTCAACAAATGACAAATCTCAGGATTCCCTAGCATTGAGCCATGACAGTTAAAGTGGTATTAAACTACATTAATTCTACAGTGCAGATCAGGGGTCCTCAAACTACGGCCCGGGGGTCGAATACAGTCCTCCAAGGTCATTTACCCGTCCCTCGATGAGGGTCAACCTAAGTCTGAAACAACTTGAAAGCACACAACAACAACAACAATGCTATCTCATCAGCCAAAAGGAGGCCCACACTTCCCAATGAAATACTAATAAGTTTATATTTGTTAAAATTGTTATTCATTTTAATTATTGTGCTATTCTAAAGTGTTTTTTTGCACTACAAATAAGATATGTGCACTGTGCATAGGAATTCATTCATTTTTTTTTCAAATTATAATCCGGCCCTCCAACAGTTTGAGGGACTATGACCTGGCCCTCTGTTTAAAAAGTTTGTGGACCCCTGGTGTAGATGCATCCCTCACTAACCTCTGTTGAGTATAGATAACCAGAGCATCTTACCTTGACTTGATTCTGAATCCTGAAGTGAAAGCTTTCATTCCACACGGGGTCTTTGGAATCATGCACAGTCCGGGTCTTGGTCCTTTTCAGTGAAGCAGTTGGCAGCCATAAAGTCACATAACAATCGGATTGTGTTACTAGGCAAAAAAAAAGTTCTATAGTTATAATCCAACAATGCGTCATAGTATTTAACAGGCTACTTTAAGCAGTGTCTGCCTATTATTTAAAACAACAAAGAGCTGCTGAGCTTACCCTGTATTTGTCATTTCATTAGTATGTGACTTCATCACACACAGTAAAATCAATGTTTCTGGTCTGAAAAATGCCCCTCACAACTAGGTACTGCTGTGTTTGAAACACAGAAGATGCACCCAGCACTTGGCAGAGAGTACATGGAGCTAGCGAGCCACATAATTTGACATGGTGAGCTGGATTTAGTCTGTGGATCTTGAATTTGACACATGTGTGTTAGTATATCCCTCATACCATGTTATATTTCTCTGCCACCACTGAATTGTCTTTATAGGTTATACACAAATACTCATCCAGTGTGTATACTCTTATCCCCCCATAATAAGCAGTAGAGCAGAGATTGGGAAAACCTGTCTCTTTAACTAGACTTCCCTCACTGAAAAGGGAAATTAGGGGCCCTCCTACACATGGCTAAAACCTTGGAAGTGATGTTTAGCCAAAGTGCAGGTTGAATCAGGCTAACAGCTGAAAAGTCTGTATTAAAAAGGTGTGCCTAAAACCCAATTCATTCCCAAAAATGTGCACTTTCACATGACTGTATTTCATAATCATCATCATCATCATCTTTATTTATACCCCACCACCATCTCCCCAAAGGGGACTCGGGGCGGCTTACATGAGGCCAAGCCCAGCAATACATTACAGCAAAATAAATACATCATAATAAAATAAGTAAAACATAAGAGTAAAATAAAAAAGTGCAAAATAACAAAGTGAAAAATCAAACACAGTGGGCGGGCCAAATGTTTGACATAAAATGATAAAACTCTGGATGAGATAAGAATGAAAAAGATATATTTGTAAGGGAGGAACTCATATGTGATGGAACAGTGGAGAAAGGCATTCAGAAAGGTGGGGGGAAGTGCAATATGAAGACAGCATTATGGGAGAAACCACAGAAAAGAAGTATATGGTCACTCTCCAAAGGCACATCGAAAGAGCCAAGTTTTTAGATCCTTCTTGAAAGAGGCTAGGGTGGGGGCTTGCCTAATCTCACCAGGTAGTAAGTTCTACAGCCTGCAGTCATGCAAAAAGCATGCTTTCTTTCCCTTCCACCTGTGTGGACTGCTCCAGCACACATGCACTTTTTAAAAGCCTGAAACAGCTGATCAACTCATTGGGCTCTCAAAACATGGAGACATTGACACACAGTTGGCTCAAGGGAAGCACAAGTTGAAAGCAAATAGAACTCTGTGGAACATTTTCTTTTAAACTTTATAATATTAAACAGAGATAAGACATCTGCTTGTGCTTACATTAAGATACTCGCATGTGCACATATGAGGTCCAGCAAATAACCAAGTGATTTAAAAAAAAAAACCTTCTGCTGGATGGTTCCCATCCACCTTCTATCTTAATCCACTACAAAGGAAGTCTGTGAGGATGGTGGGAGACCATTCTCTGGGATTGACAGGTCTGTGTGTGGACCTCTTGTCAGGTCCCAGGATTGTTTGCCTCAGTTTTAAAAGACACATTTTGGCAATGCCTGGAAGCGCCCTATGTGGACCAAATTTGTACATGGAGCTTAAGTGTAGGAAGAACACATTTGCATGAGATTTATGCAGATAATTTTCCCTTTTCTGCATGGAAAAGTGGAAGAAAAGAATGATCTTCCCAACTGATCTGATCTGAGAAAATTCTTTGTGGCTTTCAAACACGCTAGGAATCAGGCCAGCTGGGATCATGCAAAACTCGTTCATCCATCCACCCCCACAGCTCACTATAGCAAAATATCACAGCCCGTTTCCTAATTTTATAGTCTATGCCACTAATCAAGATAAGTCAGGTGGAATTCTATATTTTCTCCACCCAGACTTACACCTGGGATAAGGTGCTAAATCATTTGTTGTTACTATTGTGTATCTTAAAGTCATTTCCAACTTTTGGCTTTCTTGGCATATGTGCCAACAATTTGGGAAAAACTAATTGTCTCTAATCTTACTGTTTAGTTGGCACAAATGATTATCTTAGGCATATCAGAACTTTGCCAGTTCTTCTTCTTATTCTGACTGTAAAGACAATATGCTCAATATGCTCTTGACCTTGCCAGCTATGAGAATGTCCAAAAGACTTCAGGGAGTGCCTCAGGCTGGATCTACATTGCCCTATATCCCAGGATCTGATTCCAGATTATCTGCTGTGAACTGGATTATATCAGCCTCCTTCTACACTGCCCTATAAATTCCAAATTATCTCCTTTGGACTGGATTATATGACAGTGTAGACTCATATAATCCAGTTCAAAACAAATAATGTGGATTACTTGCTTTGATAATCTAGATTATATGGCAGTGTAGAAAGGGCCTCATATAATATAGTTCAAAGCAGATAATGTGGATTATCTGCTTCAATGGTCTAAATTATATGGCATCCACCCTGCCATATAATTTAGACCTCCCTTTCTCACACTTCAGGGGTGAGAAAGGAGGTATATAAATACTGTAAATAAATAAATAAATAATCTGCTTTGAATGGGATATTATGACAGTGTAAACTCATATAATCCAGTTCAAAAAAATTAATGTGGATTATCTGCTTTGATAATCTGGATTATATAGCAGTGTAGATCCAGTCTGAGTCTACACTGCTAGATAACCTGAGATAGGGCGGGTAATCTGGAATCAGATCCTGGGATATAGGGTAGCGTAGGTCCATCCTCAGAAAGATTCTGGAGCCCTTTAACCAGGGTTTTCCAGTAAGTGAAAATATGGCCTAAGACTAGATGAAAAGGTGCACAAATATTCCAGCCCTTTCTACACTGGATGAAAATCCCAGAGACTCTGGGGGGGGGGGGGGGTTGGGTTTTTTTAAACGGTTTTTCCCAGATTTCTGTTCCCACACCCTCCCACAACCTTGGACTTTTGCTTGGAGGCTGGCTAGATGCCATCCTAGATCAACCAAAGGTTAATCTCCAGACCCCCTTCAGTACCCCTTCAGCCCCCATTTCCCCCTCCAAAACATATCAGATCAGTGAAGGCACCTCCAGAGAGTACTCTCGATGCTCAAAAGTGACATGTCAGGAGGTGGAGCAGGAGGTGGGAAATTCCTCAGATAAAACCGATACAGGTTCTGCATTTTGGGCCTGTCTGGAAGGGTTCTCAGAATATGAGGGTCAATTGAGACATCAAAAGAGGCACACATATGTACACCTCAGAGATGCATGAATGCACTCACAAGCACATGCAAAGAGAAAACTTTGAACAGAAACCTAGAGGTTTAAGACTTCCTTTCTTGCTGACTCTTATTTAGAGATCAGTAGGAATGTGAGTAAAGGTGACTAAGAGGTGAAATGGTGCTCATCTTCTGCAGCCTGAGGTGACCAACTAATTCTGAATGGTAGGGCCAGTTCTAATTTATATTATTATCTTCAAATTCTTCATGAGGCTATGGACCTCATCACATTTGCCACCAGAATAATCAACTGTTACCCCACATCTCGCATCATCCAGCTTTCCCCCATTGATCTTCATGCAACACAGGAAGCCTCCCATGTTGCCGCCACGGTGTACACCAGTTCCTCCTCAGTTTTGCCACGGACCCCCATTGGAAGTAGATGTATGCTATGGGATGGGAGCCAGCAGGCAAAACTGAAGAGGAACTGGCATAGGCAGCCGAATTTTAACCGTCTAATGAGATTGTTAGACAAGCAATTCAGCCCAAAGCTATTATCACACTACAACCATTTTGCCAGTAGTTTATGATATTTTCACAATAAATCTTACAAAAAAGGCAAGTTTGCTGTGATTTGATCTACAACTACAACTGGCTTCCCCTTGCCAGCCATCATGGATAGAGTCGTGCTGGAGCCATACATTAACATTGAAGTAATAAAGCATATATGTTTTTTTAAAAATTTGTTGTGCAAAGAGGTATTTAGTATCCCATTGCATAATAGCCCTGCATTGAGCAGCTTCAGAATTTGCCCCGTGGTCATGTAGTGGCTAGGGAAGGGCAGGTGATATCTAAGTACTGTATATTTGGAGTATGTCAATGAAGATTCAGGAAGGTGATGGCTGGATTTTTTTTTTCTTCACAGCTACAGATTGGCAGGTGTATGTTGACAAATTACTTCCTGATCTGCTGACCATAAAATGAAGCGTGGGAGTATGCATAAGTGCTGAGGCCATGGTTTTTGCAGAGGGAGATGAAAAAGAAGAGCAGCATGAAATAGACTCAGAGTATTAAGCTCCCTGTTTGTCATGTTGGTTTGTGGTCAAACTGTCCCTAAGTCTTAAAGTGCAGTATGCATTTTCATGTCAATGAGCAAGTACAAAGCATTTTGCATAGGATGTTCATTCAGCTGGCTGATCAGGTTTGCAATAAACACTTCCCACAATCTGTTTTTATTCTTTCTTTCACCTTGCATGTCTTGCATTTTGGGCCTGTAGCACAAGGTTTGCTTTCTAACAGCAAACCTTTCCATTTACAAGCACAATTTAAACTCAGTTTATACAACATCTGACCATCATTCAGAATACTATCTGACTTCATTGCATAACCAGAAAATCAGAGGTTGATGTTGTCCTTTACATGCTTGCAGTGGTGACGTAAAACAAGAACATGCCAATGACCAAAATCAATGATAGCTTAATACACCACAGCCTCTCTGAAACTTACTGATTTCTGAGACATTTTGGCCATGATTCTGTCTGGAACTACACTGCCAAATAAATCTATATTATCAAAGCAAATTTTATCTGCTTTGAACTGAATTATATGAGTCTACACTGCAAGATAATCCAGTTCAAAGCAGATAATGTGGATTACCTGCCTTGATATTCTGGATTATATGGGAACGTAGAAGGGCCCAGATGAGGGCTAGGATAGACTAACACCCCTTCTACACTGCCATATAAAATCCAGATTAACTGCTTTAAACTGGATTATATGACAGTGTAGTTTCTTCTAATCTAATTCAAAGCAGATAATGTGGATTGTCTACTTTGATTATAATGCTTTGAACTGGATTATATGACAGTGTATACTTTTATAATCCAATTCAAAGCAGATAATGTGGCTTATCTGCTTTAAAAATCTGGATTATATGGCAGAAGTGGCCTCATATAATCCAAAGCAGATAGTGTAGATTATCTGCTTAGATAATCTGAATTATATGACAGCCTTTGGCTGGATCTACACTACCATATACAATCCAGATTATCTGCTTTGAACTGGATTATATGGCAGTGTAAACGCATATAATCCAGTTCAAAGTAGATAATGTGGATTGTCTGATTTGATTATCTGGATTATATGGCAGTGTAGATCCAGCCATAAAGAGATAGACAATCAAACTTTCCAGTATGTATCTAATAAGGGTTATACAAAACTAATGCTATAGTTTTCTAGTAAATACTCTGTTTCATCTACATAGGTGAGATGTTTTAAGGATTTACCCTTTCCTCTTAATTTTTTTTCTGCAGATTTTTATGTACTTCTGAAAACTTTGGGATTCTTTCAAACCTGCTTGTGCCTTCTCTTATGCATGAATTGTACTGTTTTCTGTTGACAATTAGACTCCAGAAAGTGGCATTTTAAGTTTTTCATTTTGGATTGTCTCATCATAGATTCAAGATGCAAAATGTAGTATGCAGTCAAAAACTCATAGTATACTAGGACTTGGAAGGGCAGCTATGACGGAACTAGACAAGAAGTTGAAGTGTAAACATATATCATTTCATACCAAAGTCAGAATTGTCCATGACACTATATTTCTGGTTGCTATTTATGATTGCAAAAGCTGAACAGTGCAGAAAGCTGATAAAAAAAAAATCATTTGAAATGTAGTGCTCGGAGAGAATTTGGATTGCCAATAATGGAAATAAATAGGTCTTAGAGCAAGACATGCCTGACGTTAAACTGAGGTTGCCATAATTTGGTCATATCATGAGCTAACCCATTGAAAAACAACAATGTTTGGGAAGGTAGAGGGAAGCACAAAATGAGGAAAACCGTACACCAGATGCATTGCTGCAGGTCTGCAAGACCTGACCAGGACTGTTGATCATGGTGAGCTTGGAAGTCTCATAGGTTTTCCAAAAACTTACATTATTATTATTATGTTATTGTTATGTTTATTTATACCCTGTTTGTTCTCTCTATGAGGAGACTCAAAGCGGCTGCCTCTGCACCTGCATCTCCGTCTATATTGAAAGATAACACATGAAATGCAGGACCAGATCAGCCCCATTCTTGCATTTGCAGAGGCACCTGCATAACCAGGAAGCAGGAGGGGAGAGTTTCTGCCTACTTTGTGCTGGTTGTAAGGTTGCTGTTCAGATGTCAACAAAGGCATCCACAATTGCCATTAGCTTAGATGAGATTCCCTAAGCAGCTAGGAGCAACAGCATTAATGAAAACACAGCGGTGTTCTTTGTGCTGACAAAGGGGCAAAGGGGATGGTGCCAGGTCTAGATAGTGGATCGGACTGAATCAGACTTGATATAGCTGTCCAGACTGCACCAAAACTGTGGGATACTCCAGGGTTTTCTAGAAACTCTGGAGTATTTGTGTCTTTGCCCAAAATGTGGCAAAGTTGGGGGGAGGGGGATTGCTAACTGTGCATCATGGAGACAACCAATCTGTCATCGGGGTAAGTCTATATTTGTGTAAGTGTAGATAACCCTAGATTTTCCAGATCAATACTATTCAGTTATTGTAACTTCATAAAGAAGAAGAATTTAAAAAGAAACAAATCTAAGATGGGACTCAAAAAAGAAATCAAGTTCTTGCATAAGTAAATATGATTTCAGAGACTGAAAAGAAAATGAGTTGTTTGAAGCAACAGGTTTAGGAAAGGTAGAAAAAAGAAAATGATTTTGAAAATAAGAGATGAAAAATGTTTTTAAAAGGATGATGAAGAAGATTTTTCATAAATATTACTCTGTTTTATGTATGAAATAACAATCTCCAGATAATAAAGTATGATCATACTCGAACAACCAGAATTTGCTTATAATTTCAGATTTTCAAAGAACAGGATTGAATCAACCTATTACTGTGACAAAGGCTGAATCTACACTACCATATAATAATATAATGCAGTTCCACGCAGTTAAGCTAGATTATATAGGGCCCCATATACATTGCCATTTAATGCAGTGTACGAAATGCATTAGTCTGGGGCTTCCACATGACGCACACAGGCTAATGCAATTTAACACAAAGTAAACCAATTCATCCAGTTTTCCCAAAGTTAAAAAACACTAGGAATGGTCCAAATCATCTAGAAGTTTTAGGTCTTTCCCAGTTTTGGAAAGATAGGGACTGCAATTTCGAGTCCCCAGGAGGATCCAAAAGTGGGATTTCCTAATTGTTTACTTGAAAAAATATTGTGGGAATTTGCTGGCAGAAGGCTTTAAAGAATAGTAGAATTGTTCATTAATGGAGAAGCTAATTAAGTTATGTATCTGGAGGGAGTAGATATATTTGATGTTGACAACCATTAGTTGTGGAAATGGACGTTTATTTTCAGTATTAGTATTGTTGGGCGGGGGAGTTGTACAGGGTGAAGTAGCATAACTTCCTTTTTTCAAAACTTAATAAAACCCATTGTATGAATCAGAATTTTATTTTTTATATATAATGTAGGCGTAGTTTTGAAGATCAAATTAGGTAGGTGACGTCCCCCATTCTCCATTTTCCATACACTGAGTAAACCGATTTCTGGTGTTTGTCATGACTCTTGCCAGCATAGCAGGCATTATGTTGCCAATTTCTTCCTGGATGTTGGTCTTCAAATCTTGTAGGGTCCTTGGACAGTTCACATAAACACGGGATTTCAAAAAACCCCATAGAAAAAAATCATAAGGGGCCAAATCTGGAGAGCGGACTGGCCACTCCAAATCCGCTTGAAAAGTAGGCCTCAATGGCAAAAGCACGCTCCTCACTGTTCCAACACATGATGGCGACTGAACTGTGTCAGGACAAAACTTTATACTCCCGCCTCTCGAACAAGACCACTAGCGCTCCGCTACGTCTTCAACTGACTGAATGGCACGCATTTAAAAAAAGGAAGTTATGCTGCCTCACCCTGTACTTTACATCTTTTTTGAGATTTTACTAATATCTTTAGTTTTGTTGCTGTTTTTCCTATGTGTGTTTTATATCTTTTTTCTATGTTGATAAACAGTTTTAATTCATATTTCTCCAAACATTGGCTTACAGCTGTTTTGGATTGCAGCCTCTGCGATACAGGTTTTTATCATGTCAGAAGTGAATTGGGAATATACTGCAAGTCACCTCTGGTTTGAGAGAATCGGCCATCTACAGAGACATTGCCCAGGGGACCCCCGGATGTGTTACCATCCTGTGGGAGGCATCACTCATGTCCTCACATGGGAAGCTGGGGCTGACAGAAGGGGCCTCACCCCATCTCACAGATTCGAACCTCTGACCTTCAGGTCTTCATCTCAGCAGTTCAGCTGGCACAAGGGTTTTATCCATGGAATCACCATGGTTCCTTTATATGCTCCTACAATACATGCTCACTATAGATTTGGAGAGTAGACATTAACTCCTACAATCAAAGCATTTTGTACCAAAGAAAGAAAAATGTTCCCAATGTTTAATTCGCAAAGCCATTTCATCCTAAATTATAGGATGCTTCATCGGATCCAAGTCCCTTCATTGCTAAATTTATTGATTTTCAAATGCTTTGATATAGTCTCAATCTCCTCCATCCCCAACATTGTCACACATGTACCATTCCAGCATCATACACAGGCAACTCCAGGTTGTACAAATATTTCTACAAATCAACTAGTTTTTAAGTAAAGCATAATTCCCATGAATTTCTCACCTGTTTAGGTGTTTTGTTTTGTTTTGTTTTGTTCAACATCGCTTTTTGACAAATTGCTGCCTGATTTTTTTTAAAAAAACTAATGAAATTGTATATGTAAATACTGGAGATAGTATTGGGCAATTAATAGTTAATATCAGGAGTTCAAAATTACTGAATTCTATAGAGTTGAATAATTTATACTTTGTCACCTGTTAATCATAGTATAAATCCATTATTTTGGAATTTGCACAGCCCCCTCAATCTATGGACAATATCTATGGTTTCATTTACTAATATTAAAAAAAAAACCCTCTCAGAAGTGCTTGTACAATCCATGGCATGCTCCTGGCCCAGGTAGAGTCTAAATATAGGCTTCACTATTATCCAGTTTCAGGAATCCACAGGGAGTGGGGGTGTCTTGTAATAATTCCACTGTCTATATGGGAATTGTACTGTGCTATTTACTTGGGAATATGTAGGTTTTATCATGTGTCACATTATCATTTCATACAGCAGCATTTCTGCTAAACTGGGACAGTAAAGAGGATTTTCAGCTTGACTATAAAGATATACTCCCAATTTAGACCAGCACATATCTTAATCAAAACTTTCTATTATGTTTTTGTTTGTGTTCATTATGATCGTAGACTTCTTATACCACAAGAAAATTTATAGAAAGAGTTGATATACTCACAAAGGTCTGCCTTCCGGAGATTTTTAATTTTTATGATCTTGACTGTGAGGAGGCTGCATGGAGCAGACTCTGGCAGCTGAACAAGAATAAAAACAAGAGGTGAATTAACATTTAGCTTATTGTAATGATTACATCTCACAAATGTTTTGTATACCACAAACCAAATAATTCCCCATGGTCTAGATTTACAAAACAAGAGGCACAAGCTAAATAACCACCTGAGGGCTTGTCTATGTGGGCTTAATAGTGTTTTAAGTACCTTATCACATTGTCTTCAGGAAGGCTACTTCCTGTGTCCTGGCAGCATCCTAGGATGTGGTACAGCAAGTGATGCGAGGACAGCAGTTTCTCCACTGCCTCACAGATTCGCCACGCTATCTGGCAATTCCCCCCCACCGTCGCCCGACTTCAGGATTTAAGTATTATGTGAGGTCCTTAGACAGCACAGGCCGTAATTTTTACACCCTATATTCCTTGTGCTCAGGTGGCCTGAGGACATGGGATGGCAGTGCAGAATCGGGTTCAGAGATGCTAAATGATCAGAACTCCTTTTTGCCTCTACAGTAGCCAGGGGGTTGAAGGTAAAACCTCCCCATGAAATTTTCTAATAATGGGGCTTTTTAATATATAGAAGTGAATCCTGTATCCCTTCAAAATCTTCTGATCTTTCATAAACACTTCTGCTGCAGTTTTTTCTCTATGGCCCAGTCCAGTAAAGGTTGCCAAGTAATAAACATCACTTGCATCACCCCGGATGCCTTCTCTATGAACCAGGAAAAGTGGGGGCATCCATGGGGCCATGGGGGAAATTGTCACCCCATGCACTGCATTGCCCAGATTGCCCCCTTCCCCATCACAAGGGGAAAGCACCACCACCAAGCTTCCACCTGGACTTACCCCAGTTTACTGAATGAGGACAAAGGAATTTATGTTAAATTTCAGATATCTAGGGATCTCATCATAAAGATGAGGTCCCCTGGATCAATTCATCAGCCTCTGTGGCAAATCGGCAGGGTGGCAGGGCAACCCTGGCACCCCACATCCCACCTCGATGGCAATTATTCTTCCCCATTACATGTGGGGAAGCATTGCCATGGTGCTTGCCCCCCCCCCAGTCTCCCGTGTTCTGGGCCAAGTGTCCTGCATTGTGTGATGGTTGACGTGGGGCTCCATCGATCAGCTGTACTGCAGGCATCCTAGGACGCTTGCAGCCCATCATGTGATGAGGTCATAATGTCTCCTGATGGTACTCCCCTCAGAAGTTGCAAGGTGAATTTGCTTTATTTGTCCTTGGTAGATAAGGCCTGAAAAGTACTTTGTTGAGCTTACAGCTTTGATCTGATAATAATATTTATGGATAAATCTAAGAACACTATGAAAATGACATCTTTTAAACATTCAAAGCATGTTGGGATAATGAAATTTCATGTGCTATGTATTGAAGATGTGACTACAAAAAGAAAACTGTTTTAAAAGAAGATAAAGAATAAAAATCAGAAGAAAGACTCTAGAAAGAAAAAAGTAGTAGTAATCAATTCTAAGAAGAAAATGCTAATTATGAATCCTCTAAGTCTCTATTTTTGAGAGAAAAAATGTGATATAAATAAACATCATCATCAATTCCTCAGTTATAACATGCAATTGTTTTGTTTATAATCATTACTTGCAGATTTAGAATGATTTTTCCTTATTTGGTTAATATAGTTGATATTTTGGCTCCCACACACCTATCTTTTGGGGTGTGTTTCAACACATATTTTCAACCCAAGCAGAATAGCACCTCATACTTTTGTGTAATCTCCCAGTGTCATGTCATGTCACTTCAGTCATGTGCAAAATATAAAGCTCATATGGTTTTCCAACATACATAGGGCATTCCCACTGGTAACTTTTGCATTTACGACAGGAGAACAGCTTCCAACTGCAGGGTCTATATTAGTCCCCTACCCATGTCCCCATCTTAGCAGTATGGAAGAGCATACAATCAGCAAACGTGGCATTCCCCCAGCCCTAAAAAGATAGGACATGCCATATAGGACACATGATTCTTATAATACTGCTGAGAACACTTGGAATGCCTCACAGTAGCCACATAATACTCCTTCTTCCTGACAATCTGGAAGACCATCTGTCGACCCATAACAGACTTTCAGTCCTGCCATCTAAGCCAGAAACTCAGTCAATCCCTATAAAAGGAGCCTTCCAGTTCCTATTCCATACAGCCTGCAGTTGGATCCAACAACTATCATATCCCAGACATTGATCAAGAGGAAACCTATGTATGTCAACCAAACACTCAAGCAGAAATGTTCCCTATGTTTCAAACATTAGAAATGAAGCAATCCTACTTCTGCACTGAAAGATCATTATAGAAATAATGTCCAACTATTTGGTGAAATCATAGATTTTTTTAAAAAAAAAATCTCTAGCTCCTTACCTGTTGTTTGCTTGTAAATATCCCCATTGCAAACCTCGTCTGACAGATTCCTAAACAGTTTACAGACAAGTAGCAATGGATGGAGCAAATTAAGTCTTTGAACTGAGGCATTGATGATCTGACTCACAGCTCCACCTCTCTCTTTAATTTCCATAGAATGAAGCAACCTGTTTCATCAAACACTTATGTTAAGACCAATGAACAAGTGTGCTGGAAGTTTACTTGTGACTTGCATCAATGGAAGACAGAAGAAACTAGAATGATCCTACAGCACTGAGTTATCAGGATTACCACTGACTGGTCCTGAGAAGATATATGCTTCCCTAAGGTTATGTAGGCAATTTCTAGCTGAGATCAGACCTCAGTTCATTCTTGACATCCAGATTCTTGTGGCCAGCATGATGAAGAAGAATTCAGCCTGGCTTGGAAATATCTATGAATCTTCATTGACTTTGTTGTTCCTGTGTTAAAATGTGAACTCTCTTCTCTAACAAGTAAATATGTTTTCTATTTTTTAAAAATGGGGTTTAAAATACACTACAACACCCTGTACCCACTGGACCAGAAACTGAGGTTTCACTTATCCACATCTGACAAAATATGGAAATTTTCTAGGTCCTCCGGGTAATACTGTGGAATGATTTCATGGAAATCTACCTTGGAATCTACCTGAGTGACTTAGCAAATTCCCTGAGGAAACACTTTACTAGGTCTTCCAAGGTGACTTTAGGGTAATCTCCAGAACCAGAGAAAGGGCCTTCTCCATGGCTGCCCCCCACCTCTGGAGCTCCCTTCCTAAGGAGTTAAAGATGTCCCTCTCCCTCCCCGCTTTCAAAAAACAGCTGAAGATATACCTTTGCTCACAGGCTTATGAGGAGGAGTAATAGTAGCTGGTAATAATACCATCATACCTCTGATTAATAGTTGCCATCCGTATCTGTGCCCTGCTCACCCCACTAGCTCAATAGATATCTTGAGCAATGATTAATCGATTTGCCCCAAAGAAATGTGAAATTATTTTTTTCCATTTGATGTTTGATATTTTGTCTTATGTCTGTTATAACAGGCTGTGCTTTTTATTTATTTAATTTATTTAATTTTAGTTTGTTAAGTTATAATTTGAATTTATATGTTGGGTTGTATAAATTTGTTAGTATGGATGTATTGTTGTATTCAGGCATTGAATGTTTGCCTTTTTTGTTTGGGATCCTCCCTGAGTCCCTTTGGGTAGATAGAGCAGAATATAAATATATTATTATTATTATTATTATTATTATTATTATTATTATTTTCAAAAATGTTTGCTATTATCTATGACTTCCTGTTTCCACAGTAAGTATCCATGGGTACAGGGATAACATTGTATCTAAAACTTTAAAAAGAGGGCAACACTCTCTGATCTCTGAACGAGATGGTGTAGTTGTTATTCTCTCCTCCCTCCTACACCATTCCTACCTCCTTCCTACACCATTCCAGGGTGCAAGAGCCCAGATCAGGTGGACTTATGGGTGTAGTGCTTCTCATGCAATCCAGTCCCTCCCAAATAACTTATACATACCAAAGGAAGTTATAAAAGGGGGAAACAATGATGCCATTCCAGTAAGGTGAGAATTTGATTACAGTTCACATTGTTTAGCATCATTAAAGCATAGTACTCGATGTTGTACACTGTTGTCCAGGCAAGTTATTGGAAAATATTAATGAGGTGTATTAGCTAATTGTAGCTATTTGAAACTATCACCATGAGGTAAGCAATACCTTTAAGAATCCAGGACAGAGAGAGCAAGAGAGCATAGATTATTATTAAAGAGCACAGCAAGGGTTGAAGTATGTCCAGCCTTCTAGAATTTGTAAGATTAGAAGTAAATGGGCAGCTTTTTCCAGGCTTCCCCAAATGGGACTATGTGTCTGGAAGTTTAAGTGTTTGCTGCTATAGTTTTTTATATATATCCAAGCAATGTTTTTGTTGTCCCAGACTATATTTTCTAGCAACTACCAGAACCAGCTACAATGTTTTATTCCTAGTCATGAGTGGGTTTCAGACAGGCCTGTAGCGAGGGGGTGGTTTTAGGGGTTCAACCCCCCCCCCCCCTGAAATGTTTCAGATTTTTTTTAAAAAAAATGTTTTACTCATGAATTTTAATTGGTTAACCAAATCCCCATGCTAAGTCTATGAGATGCAAAAAAATTAAGTGTCCCTCCAGAACTGCAAGCACTATCTCAGGCAAATATTGACAATTTATTCACACTGTCATTACTTGCAGCAATAGTCGATGTAGTGAAGCAAACAAGTTGGGGATGTGTATGTTGAATGCTCTCATTAAGGAGGCCAGACTTGGTGGAGGTGGTTGACAGGGGTGGAGCTGCAGGCTACTGAAGGCTGCTCTGCCCCCTGCTGTGCTCTTTGATTCAGCGTGAGCTAAGAGGCAGGTTTCAACCCCCCCCTCCACGAAATTTTAACCCCCCCCCTCCCCCGAAAATTTCAACCCCTCCCGAAATTTTTTTCTGGCTACGGCCCTCGTTTCAGAGATACAGCAGAACAATCTGTTTTCCTCTTCTCTTTTTCTTTTCGATTTTGTTTCGAGTTATAGTGAAATGACGCATTTGAACTATAATTCTGTGACTTTAATTTGACTTTATTTTTAAAAAATAGAGAGCAAAATCATTTGCTTTTTAAATCACAGGAAACCCTGACTCAGTTTTAAAACACTTCACGCAAATCCAAGAAATTGCTACAAAACATCTTCCAAAAGAATGGAATAAGCTAAGAAGAAAATGCCAAGAACTGGCAAAACTTAACAAAACTGAAGGAGCCATATCACAAGTGTTCATGCTTCTTTAGACAAATCTAAAAAAAATACCTCAGTTGGAGCAACAGAGGTATAGTTGTCATAGTGTGCTCACTTATTATCACATCTGTGCATTGTATTTTCAAGTTTTTTAGCAATTCAATCACCTGCAATACCAGTTGGAGCAGAGAAGCAATTGTGTGGATTATGTTGTGATATGATCTAGTCACAAAGTGACGCTGGACTTAGTTATATCTGGGTGGAGCCATGAGTTTCCTGTGTCTGTTACATTCCTGGTGGGAAGAGACAATAAAGTTCTTGTCATGTTTCCTGACAGGTGTGTAGAACATTAAACCTTTGCAACTTTGGATCAGAGGTCATATTTCCATCCTCCAGATTCTTAACAGCAGAGACCTTCAGCTTTCTTGATCCTTTGTCTCTTAGAGTACAATACAGTCAGCTCTCCACATTTGTAGGGGGTTAGGGTGCAGTACCCATGCAAAAATGGGAAAATTTGGAGTATCATAAGCCTCCTCATGCATACCAATTCTATCCTCTAAATTTCCTGCTGTTCTAAGAGAGCCAGTTAACTTTAAGACCTGACCGGCACTGTTAGAAAGACAAGTCATTGGGAGGAAGAGGCCTGGGGTGAGGCAATTAATGAGTTAGGAAATACTCTAAAATCTGGCTGGCTCTTTTTCTGGAACAGGAGACTGATTGCTGGCTCCCAAGTTCCCAAAACTGGATGGAAATGGCGTCACCTAGGCTCAGATTGCCAGCAGAATTGACTTCTTTCTTCATAGTACTGTGGCAATACTGTCGCAATCATGACTAAGTAGTGATCATGAATATGGAATGGTTAGCAAGATTTACTCATCCAAAATGCTTCCATATTCACAATCACTACATAGTCATGATTTGACACTATTATCATGACTGTAAGTCATCACCACCACCTACTTTACAAGGCGTCAGCTGCATAAGGAGAAGGAGGCTCATTCTACCAGTAATCAGAACATGGCTGAATGATGTTTTTGCTTGATTCTGGGCTGGGGTGGGGGGGGAGGCGGCAGAAGAGGTTGCTTAATTGGGCCCACTTAACTAAGTGTAAAATATTGCTCAACATTTGTTAACTATGGATGCAAAGAATCAAATATCACCTTTTTAAATATTTTTATGCACCTTGTCAGAGGGTACCAGATTGTTTTCAGTCAACCAACTCAATTACACAATTAAACCAGAATTCCAATTTTAAATTGTGTTTAACTTTTTTATTTATTTGTCTAACATTAGACTAACATCGGAATCTTCCACATGTTGATTCACAAGTCCCTCTCTGTTTAAGGAGGCTGCTTTCCTATTAAGTGTATTTACACTTGCAGATGAAAACATGCAGCAGAGGAGCTTATGACTTCCGATGTTTTCTCCGTTCCACTGCTACACGCAAGGCTTCAACAATCTTCTTTTCATTGTTTAGGACATTGTATTCAGTCAGATTCACCAATTTGCTGAAATTTGCTTTTGAGAAGCACACTTCACGAGTAGTAAATGGGGAAAATATAGTAGAGACATCCACATCCCCTTCCTTTATATTTCCTGCGTTCCGTTCCACACCTGAGAGAGAAAACAACCAAATTTTATCAAAAAGGTTTTAATCTAAGACATAGTTGGCCCAATGAAATGAATGTTATTAACCTTAGCTACCATCTCCCACTTTTTAAATATTTCTAGATGTTATGACAACATAACTGACAACAAAAAGGGTTATTTTTTTTTAAAAAAAAGTCTATGAAAGCAGTGGTGGTCATACTCTGACTAATGGCAGCCTTTCCAAACTAAAAACATACACCAGGGGCTTTTCCAGCCTTCCAAAGCACATATTTAATGTTTCATTTGGGGGAGGAGATACAGAAGAGAGACTGCCCTCTTCCTGTTTTCATAGAATTGAATAATATTAGCTAACAGGTCAAGGTTTTTGTTAAGAATGCGCAAAATTGCATGAAATCACAGCAAAGTTGCCAGAAGTTAATAGGGACCAGGTGGAGCCCTGTGGCACATTTGATTGTTCCATCTATGTAGGAGTCCTTTCTGATATTCTGTTCTGTTCAGACACTAGACAAAGTTCCAGGCCTCCTTAGCAGTGGCACATTACTGCTATAATATGGCATAAAGTTTATTGGCAGCAAATGATGCAGCAGATGATACACAGCAAGTGGAAGAATTAGGCCCCTACATTCATTCCACCCAGACTACCTAATTCCTGATTGCTGGCTATTTGGGAGAATTTTGGTTGGGCTGCTGTCCCAT